CAGGTAGACAACGGAGATAGAGAACGATTGATATATCGCGAGAAAGAAGAAAGGACGGAAGGACGGTAAGGAAGGAAGAAAGAAAGAAAGAAAAGGAAGAGTTATAAATAGGCAGGGGAAAAACGAACTGCGAGAGAGCGAGAGAGACAGAAACAGAGTTTGAGGTCTCGCTGCTGTGCAGGAAGTATATCTATTAATACACACACCAGAAGCAGGCACCTCCTTGTCGTGGGATATATCTTATTTACCTTTATTCCCTTACTCTTCCTTACTTCTATCGTCACGCTCTTTCTCTCCAGGTTCTGCACTCGACGTTCTTATTTTGTGGCTCTTGCGATTATACACCATCAATATCCAAGCTCGATCCACACAGACCCAGTACCTGGGCATTATAACCCAGGGTAAGGCAAGCCACCTACATCCGCCAACACTGTCAACAACCGCCAATTCCAGCGAGGAGGTAGATATACTTTGCGCCCTCACATCCCCGTCCACAGCTGCCTACACGGCTCCCACCACGGCTCACTCCAACCTCCACCCCTCTTTCCGGGTCCCTCCACTCCTCGCTTGGGTTGCCTTATCGGGCCCGCTGCCGAGCCCGCTCGTGACACTCTCGTGACCAGAAGTTCTGCGGCCACGGGTTCAGCTGGGACCGGGAGAAACAGATAATCCGCTCCCGCGCGAGGCTCTGCCCTTATCGCCACTACCAGCCACGCCCATCGCCAACACCCGCCAGCACGCCAGCCCGCTTACCTCCACTGCCTCCACCTCTGCCTCTACCTCTACCTCCACGCCCCACGCTGTCGCCCTTACTCCCACCCCCGTCAGCCGCCATCCTCAACTCCCTCGCTCCTCACCATCGATCGCATCTCCGTCGCCATCACCACCACCACCACCGGCCATCGTCCGCCATCGCCTGCCGTCGCTCCTCCACCCTTCTCCACCCTCTGCCGCGCAGGAACAAGGCCAGCCGTCGCGGATGTGACTTTCCCAATACGCGGGGTCCGCTGCTTTTCTGGCGTCTGTGTGTCTTGTCTGTCTGTGTTTGGCTGTCGGTTCGGCCTGTCTCTGCTGTCTGACTTTCCAACCACGCCCAAAATAGCCACTCGGGTTGGCTTTTGACTTCGCTCCTCCTTCTCTCTCTCTCTCTCCCCTTCTGCCAACCAACCCTCCGTCGTCTCTCTCCGCCCAAAGTGAAGGAGGATCTGTCTCCTCTCCCGCTCCGCCTCTCTCTTTTAACTCCCTCAGATCAAATAACTTCTCATCGTCGTTGTCTTTGATTCTTTCCTCTTCTTCGTCACCCTCCTCCACTTCCAGCCCATATTTCATCCTCGCTTTTCCCCCCGAGTTTATTCAGCTCCCACGTTAGACCCGTTAAACTATATCTCCTCCCATCCTCTTTCCAGGTACAGAGTCCACTCCACCCCACTCTACTCTTCTCTACTCACTCTCCACGCCATTCCATACCGCACCACAGACTTTCTTTATTCCATGCCCGTGGCTATTCATCGAACTAACTCTGCGCTTGCTACCGTCGTAAAAAGGCAACTTCCTCTTATCGCCACCCCGTCCGTAAATCACACGCACCGTCTTAACAACCTTCCAACCTAACCAACGCTCGCGCAAAAGCCGATCGATCGCCCTCTGTAATAATACATCTTCTTACTCACCACCCACTGTCCTTTGACGAGATACCACGATTCCCGGTCATCGTTTGACACCAGGGCCTTGACCCATATTATTACTGCCTATTTTCGTTTTCATTTCCTCCGGCCTCTCGTCCCAGAGTTTCGACTTCATGCTCCAACTCTGAAAAACGAACGCCTGTCAAAAATCGCGTCGTCGCCGCATCCAACTCCAGTCGGCGGCGATCATCGAATAAGTCATCTCTACGATCCATTTATCCATTTTTGTATTTTACTCAACAAAAATTGTCCGCTCCCATCTCCCATCGCCTCTGATTCGCCTTGTGTGCGCAATCGACTCTCTCTTTTTACCTCAAAACGTACCACACTGACTGTTACTGCCCCTCCCACCTACTTACTTTCTTTAAATCTCGTGCCTTGTCTATCGACGCTTGTCTTGTGACCAGTACTCCCTTGGGAGTTCTACCGAACCAAAAAGATTGATCGGAAAGGTTTGACCCACTCTCTGGACAAGAGTGCCAAGTTGGCTGGCCTAACTCGCTCCAACCATGAATCAGATGAATGTCGCTGGAATGAACCCGGGAGCAGGTGGTCCCGTCGGTGGCATTCCCATGATGAACAATGGCTCTACAGCTCCGCGCAGTGATCCCAATGGCCAGAATCTTCAGGGAGACAATGTTATGCAATTAAACACCTACATCTACGACTATTTTCTGAAACGCGGCTATCACGAGTGCGCAAGGGCCTTGATTCAAGATGAATCGTTTACCATGAGCACTTCTCCTGCGTCCAAGTCGACACCATCCCACCGCCGCGATGGCGAAATGAATGGCGTTGACGGTGATGCAATGGCCACAGACTCCAAGGACGATGTGAATAAACCAAGAATACCCGATGACTTTCCGCGACCAAATATACCGCCAGGCCCTGGCGGAGGTGACGTGCAACAAACCCCATTTCTCCTGGACTGGTTTAACCTCTTCTGGGATATTTTCTTGGCCCAACGGAAACGAAGTAAGAACCCTGACGCGATGCACTACGTGCAACAGACCCAGGTATGTCCATATATACATAATTCTCTCGTCAAACGACTTTTTTCTCTCACGGTAATAATACTAATAAACGCATAATGCGATACTCCTCAGCAACTACTTCGCATGCAAAACCAACAAATGATGCGCCAATCACAAATCATGCCGGGGCAATATAACATACGTGGAGCCCGTGGTGGCATAATTCCTGCGAATATTCAAAAAACCATTTTGCAAAACCCAAATATGTACGTTCATATATATATATATATACATATAGACAATACCTAATTTCCACCACCCATTGACTAACTGTTTTATAGGACACCCCAGCAAATGGCGCAGCTGCAGAAAAATCAACAAATGCTCCATCATCAAATGCAACGAGAGCCTTCCGAAATGGAAATGAATGGCCATCGACCACAGTCGCCGTCTTCTGCTGAAAACGCTCCGTCGCCTTCAAAACGTCCTCGTCTGGACGGTTCGCAGGTAAATGGGATGCAAATGGCACCGAACGGGCGTGGGCAAGGGCAAATGCCTGGTCGTCCCGCCCACCAGGCCAATGCGATGTTGATGCAACATGGCATAAACCCGAGCAACTTGACTCCTGCACAGTTCAGTTCGTTCCAGGCGCAGAATCCGTCTGTACAAGCAAAATCTCTCCAGGTATATAATCAAAGCATGGCTCTACATAACAATCGCTCAGCAATGAATAACCAGGGGATGCCGAATGGCTTAATGAATACTGGAGTCATGCCAAACCAAGGGGACATGATGCCCATGCACGATAGTCAACTCTTAACAATGCATGAATACTACGGCGCAAACGGCCAAATGCCCCAAGTTCCGCGACCACAAATGCAAACGGCCGGCGGCGGGAATCATGCCCTCCAAGATTATCAAATGCAGCTGATGCTTCTGGAGCAGCAGAATAAACGTCGTCTGCTCATGGCTCGTCAAGAGCAAGATAGCATCACCCGAGGCGATGGCCAGCCTGGCATGCCTGGCCAGCCTAACCTGGCCCCTGGCACATCCCCGCAAGGAAGCCGTGCCGGCACGTCCCCGAACCCGAATGATCAGATGAAGCGAGGCACACCCAAGATGCCTCAGTCAGGTCTACCTGGTTCTCCTTCTGTTGGTGATGCGATGGCCCAGGGCCGTAGCTCTCCTGCTTCAATGAACTTTGGAGGACAGATGCCGCAAGAACTGGGTGGGCCCTTTTTCATGAACAAGAATATGCCAGAGGGTGTCGTTCAGAACGGAATGAGGCCGCCAAGTTCGAACCCGGCATTTAGTGGTCCTCAGATGGCCCAGCCTATGGATGCCATGTCGCGACCGCAAGGACCTGGTGCCGCTGGTAATCGAATGCCAAGTGGCAACTGGCAGAACCAGGGACAACCCATGATCCCACAGCAGCAACAAGTGGGTCAACAGCCACAACCAGCTGGGACCCCGCAAGAGCGTAATGCTATGCCACCACCTCAAGCACCCCCAGCAGGTGTTGCAGGTACTGGCAGGGCGCAACCTTCCTCTCCCCAATCCGGCGCGGCTCCTCCGACTCCGCAGCAGTCTAACAAGCCAGCGCCCAAGGGGAAGAAGGAACCTAAGGAAAACCCAAGAAAGGTAAAGCAAAAGTTCATATTTTCATCAATTCATTTTTTTAAATATATATATATATCAAAATAAAGGTTTAAGCGGACGCTAAGCTAACAAATCATTAACCAGCGTCCTACAAAGAAACCGTCCACAGCTAACGCCTCGAATACTGCTGCGACTCCATCCTCGGAGGCTGAACCCCCTCCGACTCCCACTCCATCAACTCCAATCACTCCCGTCCATCCGAATTCATTTAACAAAAACACTACCAACCCAACTACAAACCCTCCTCAGCCCACTTCCGCACCAGCAGCACAAAATATTGTTCCGCCACAGGATCCTAACCAGACATTTGACATGAAATCTTTCCGATGTAAGCCTTGAATCTCCTCCCCTCCCCCATTCCCCTGATTTTTATTTAAATCTGACATATTCATCACCACAACAGACCAACAATTACAATCTTGACTTCACCGCTCTAGATAACCCCGATATCCTAGAGAATTTCGACTTTGATTCGTTCCTAAACACAGATGATCCCAATGGATTCGCTTTTGACCCAACCATGTCATACCCAACTGATGGAGTTGAAGCGGGTGCAGGAGACGGCTTGTAATCTTTCATTTTCAGTCTTTTTTATTCGATTTGTCCACGTGGGGTGGGGGGATGGAGGGTGTTTCTGTTGATTATAACTCTCTCCAACTCTTTGGTTGTTTCTATTTTTATTTTATTTTATTTTTTTGGCTTCCCTTGTCCTTTCTTTTCTCATTCATTTTAACTAATATTCTCCTTATTCTCATTTTGAGTGTGTGTCATGTATGTGTGTGTGTTTCCCCTCCTTTCCGTACATTTTCTCTCCTTTTCATTGCTTTTTCTTTTGATATCTTAAAAAAGGAGTGAATTGGAAAACCATTATTGCTGCCGCTACTACTACTACTACTAGCAGCAGCAGTAGTAGAAGAGGCAAGAAAAAAAAAGGCGATTGCGAATTATATTTGATGGTTGAAATGTGGAAAAGAATTGATTTCCCTCCTGCATTATTGTTTATTTCCTTTCTTAATTTTTGGTTTTCTTTTTTTGGGCGCTGCTAAAATTCATACCCCAGCTCTCTTCTTCCCTCATTCTTCACCTTTTTCTTATTCATGCCTTATTCTGTTATGTTATACTTAAATTTTTTTTCTATTTAAGTCATCCGTCTATCTCTCATGTTTAATTAAAATACTGTTCTTGTCTATTCTTTGTCTTCTACCACTTCATTTTGTTATTATTATTATTATTATTATTATTACTGTTACTTATTATTACTATTACTATTATTATCTACTTCTTACTTTCTTTACATCTCTGACTTCACTATCTCCCTTTTTTCCACTGTCCTTCCTTTTCTATTTAATGTTTGATTTTTCATCTCATTGCTGTTATTTAGTTATTTAAGTTAACTCTTTTTCTTTTCTTTTGAATTGTGGTTTTATCATATATGTATTGATTGTCTGTCTTATACTCTTATTGCAATCACAAACACATCACACACATTTTCCTTTCTGGGATTTTTCATACTCTTTCTATATTACATCATTTGTATATATGTTCAACTCAATCAATCTGTTTTATTATGCCACTCTTTTCATCTCACTTCTCCCACTTTCTTTCTGTGTCTCACTTCCCGCTCCGCCTCTTCTCACAACTCAAATGTTTTTTATTATCTTATACTGCCATTATATATATATCTGTTGTGCTATCAGAGTTTATAGTGTACTAAGTAGTTAAGTATAGAGATGAAATTTATACTTTCTGATCTTCTATCGATCGCCTCTTCACTACCATGTATATATATATTATGAGTAGATTTCTATACATTTAATTGGTTAAATACACTTTATTTTATACTGTGAAGACTTGACTTTAGTACTAGTTTATAATCGACATAGATAGTTATCTCTGAGTTATCTGACTATCTATCAATCTACTCAATATCTAATTGGTTGGTAATAAAATAGAGAATGCTATCTGCCTACTTACCTATCTGCTAGATATTTGATTGATTGACGATTGAATTGAGAAATGCTAGCTGGATAGCTAGCTCTCTAGCTCCTACTAACCAAGCGGCCTGTTCAATATTCAATCAATCTCATGGATATTCAATCAATCTCTATGAGAATAAACATCACCATCTAGTTACCCATCTATCAATCAATGCTAACTTACTAGCTGACTACCTGTCGGCCTACCTGCCTATCTATCTACTTATTGATAACACTCACTAATGAATGATATATACCAATGATATCTGCCATGATATCTGCTATAATATTTAGTGATATCTAGCGATGATGATATATTGATCATATATACCGATGATATTTGCTATGATATCTGCTATAATATTTAGTGATATCTAGCGATTATATATTGAACAATGAATAATATGACTTTGCAATTTCACTCTGTCCTGCCCAGCGGCCATGTTTCATGAAGCTTCTACTACAGAGTGTTGTGCCTCAGCTTTTTCAACTCTTTGACAAAATTAAAGATGTCTTCATCTCTGGGATTTAGAGATTCATTTGCCCACCCTCAGAAGCGGGGTGGTAGAGGCAGGCTGCCCCTAGTAGTATTGATAATAACAGTAGGTAGTAGTAGTAGTAGATAGTAGCTAATCACTGAGAGAAAAAAGAGAAGAGGAAAGAAGATGGAAGAAGTAGTATATAAAGTGTATGTAATTAGACATAATGGTAGTGAGAACATAATAAGGAAAGAATAAACCAAGATATATAACTACTTCATCAACTGTATTAAACTTTAGCAGAATATAAACAAACACATCTTGAAGCACAGATAACAGCTCAAGACAAGAAGAGCTTCTCAGCATTATCATGAGCATTATCATCAGCATCATCAGATGCTACAGCTTTCAAGAACTAATTTAGAATCACAATAGATAAAAATTAAACAGTCACTGTCAAGCTCAAGAATCACAGCATCATTCAGCAATATCAAGAATGCACAGTGATATGAGTTAAATGAAGGATGAAGACAGTGATTCACAACAACCCAGGTTAGCATTGATATAATGATTATTGCCAGCCACACATCTTCAGGGATGGAGAGACAATAATATCGTAACTTCATCAAATATCAATAAGAATATAGCCACAGCAATTTTTCAAGATGATTTAACGCCAGCATATAGCATACCAAAGTTAATTTTACCAAGCTTCTCACAAGACGTGCCAGCATGCGCAACACTACCTTCCTCGCTCTTGTGACCCCAGTATAACGGCCCACGTTTTGTCGGCCATTCATCGATCAAGTTGGCTAGTGTCTGTAGGTGGCCAAACGTCGCAGGCTGAGGCCCCTTTGGAGGCTTAAAAATGATTGCGGTCGCGAACAGGGCCAGACATAAAGCGCCAACAGTCAAGTACGAGATCTGGACCGGCATCATGTTAAAGCCAGAATCGAAATAAACAGTCATCGAAAGTCCATAAAGCCAGTGTATCAACGGCTTGAAGCAGAACAGTGTGATTGACTGCCACGAGGTTCCCATCTTCTTGAGGATATTACGATCTCGCTTCAAGCCGCCCTCAGACGATGCGAGCCGCCAAGCTGCTTCATCATTGGAGCAATTAACATGAAGCTCAGCACAATGAAGTGCAAGTGTGATAACTGTCTGAAGCCCTGATACGAAGAAGAATGTCCAAGCAAAATATACTTGCTGGAAGTGTCTCACCATCGACGAACCAGCCCATGTTAAGGGAAGGGGTTTGACTGTTCGGAAGAAGCGACCAGCTGCTTTTGTCGCTAATCCCATTCACGAACCCCGTGCTAATAACAACAAAGATGATGAATTTTCCCACAGCAAACCCGGGCCCGCTGTGGCCCAGAGAGCCCAAAGAACCTTGCGAACCTCTGAGTGTGCGTAGTAAGCTGCCTGCTGCCTGTGCCGCGGAGGAACAGGAACTGTTGGAGCTGCTGTATTGTGCACACTTTGCATACATCGGCCAGGAATCCTGTGAAGAGAGCCTTCCAAAATGCAAGCTGCAACTGTGTCCAGAGGGAATAGCGAGAGAGATGATAGCGGCGCCACAGATGCGTGTCTCTGGCTCATCATAATAGCCACTCGAGCGATCCTTCAGAAAAACAAGCGATGAGGAAGAGTATGAGCCTATGATGCAACATAGCATAAACAAATTTGTGTACCATTTGTTAGGCCTCGAGGTGCGTGAGCTGGTCAACAGCCGAAAGTTGGAATTGAAGATGAGCCTACCTTCACGCTGTAATGCCCATCGTAGGGATATACCGTGAACATACCCATATATTTCGTTCACAAGTGTGCTGAGAAGGTTCAAACCGAGCGAGATAACCTCTCCGCGAGCTCCTTGCTGTCCTATATAGAGATTGGAAGAATAGAGGTGTAGATACCAACTGCTAGACAAGCAATCCCCAGAACTAGGCCCAGGTACAGCTCAACAATGCAGATATTTCTAGAAAACTCTCCTCGATTGAAGTACGGTCCCCTAGGTGACTGACTTAGCATTTCCACCTCGAATTCCACATTTGGTGACAGGTAAGAGTAAAACATCCCTTGAATGAGATCTATTGAAATAAATGGGTTAGAGCAACACGATCATTCTTTTCCAAGATCAGAAGAATTTGGCAAATTTGATGTATTATATGCTTTGAGGATGCATTGAGGAAGTCACAAATTCCATTGTCAAAGAGCTACCACTCTACTCTAACAGCTGGCACAGCCTCCACTCGAATCTGAAAGTGCACCATCATGCCACCATACCAAGCCACACGAAGATGCTGTTGGACGGGTTCCATTAGAATGCAAGGCAACTGAGCCATACTCCGTAGTCCGCAGGAGAGAAGCCTGGCCTAAGTGGTGCCAGCTGGTTGCACAGGCGACCACTCAAGCCCTTATCCCACGTGAACCCCCCACACTCACACATTAGCTGCCACTAGATAGATAATAACCAACCACGGTTTTATGAAGCCCTTGCATTTCTCTGAAGTGATAACTTGCAAATATTATACAACTTTACTACAGCTTAACTAACTATATTAACTATATATTTTAAATTTAGACAATTACCCTGTTCTGGCCTAGCATTGATTGCTTGCTTTGGCTTAGCGCTGGCACTTTAGTACGGGTTTCTTACAAGGGATATCTCTCTCCTCTTCAGACTTTACATCTCTTAAAAATAACAGTGTCCTGCTCGCTTATAACTATTCCATACAACTTCTATATACAATTGCAAAATTGCGAGATGTAGTAGCGCTTGAAGATAGAACAGAAATGACCAGCATTTGATGATGAACTATATATAGTTAGAACTACATACGTAACAAGAATCAAAGTTGTTTAACTACTAGATAAAAACTATAAAAGGGGATATAGTGATGTTAGCTACACTAAGCCTGACTGAGTAGCGGCAAGCCTCAGCAAAGGCAACTAACTCCCCATAACGTGATATCAGAGCTGTTTAATCACCTAGAATTTTCAAAGTGGAGAAAAAAAAAAAAAAAAGGAAAGAAAAAGGAAAGAAAGCCTGTATCAACAATAATAGAGGCTACGTAAAACCCACAGAAAGAAAAGGGGACAGTCAGCATTCTCCCGTACGAATAGTTACCACGCCTTTCCGTTCTGTTCTCTCAAAACTGAGGTCCTCTCCCTTCCTACCCCCTAGAAGATTTCGCCATCCTACTACTCCTCCTCCCTTTTCTCGATTTTCACACATTCCTCCAATGGAATGAAATCATACATAGCATCTGAACCAAAAGGATCAACACCAGGATTTTTCCCCAATGCGCCCTGTGCAGCATGAGAATCCACGGTAACCCCCAATTCAGATACACCAACAGAAACGGCGGCCGTAGCAGCCATCTGCTCCCACTTACGAATATTCTCCTCCGTCTGCTCTTTCGGATCTGCCCACTCCTCATCTTCCTTAACCATCTTGATCAAATAGTCAACCACTTGCTCAGCGCATTTCTCCTTGGCAATTTGCATCGAATAAATAAACTTGGATCGCCCAATGCTTCCAACCCGCGCAAGGAATGGATCATTCGGGAACCGAGCCGTCGCACTGAACCATGTATCAGGCCCATCCACTTGCAGCTCGGTCATGTGGTATTCTGGCTGGTCTATTGATAAAAGAGAGCATATCTCTTTATGATTGAAAAAAGGATGGATACGAAGATGAGGCCAGAGCTATCGGGCACGCTCCCTTGAGGAGCGTGCCAGCGGCCGGCACATCGTAGAATAAAAAGTCAGCAAAAGAAATTTTTAAAGGGGGCATGGCTCAGAGCGGGTATGTAAGGGGGGATTGGAGAATCTTTACTTTCAACGCGCTCGCACGGATTCCGATATTGGCTCGTCACCAATCTAAGATCCCTTGATGATATTTTCTCGTTTTTGGTCCTCGAAGCTGTGACTTCTGCAGTTGGTAGCCTCTGGCTCCTCGTAGGAATTGGCAACAAATTGGCATTCTCTCGTTTTGCCTTCTTTTTGGCCCTCTTTTTGGCCTTCTTACCCACTTGCTTCGATGGTCCAGGTGGCAGTAGATCTGCCCCGGACATAGTGCTTACATTTGATCTCCCAGCGGGTAGATCCTGGTCACCAGACAGTATTTTGTTTTTTCCCGCGTGTCGTTTCCGCTTAACTTGGGTAATCTGTTTGACACAAGTTAGCAACGGACAAAATCTTGGAAAGCTCCACTCGCGAAAAACATCATAGCATAATTGCTTCCCTGAGGCTGAAGAGATGGTTTCTGAATTGGTGCAGTTGCAGTTTCGTTGTTATTATTATTAACACTGTTCGTCAGTAAACTACCGGCAAACCTAACCCCTTGAAACAGTGGCGTAACTTCAAGGCTGGTGATTAAAAGACTATAAAGAGCTGCATGAGCAGAGGCATGTATAGCCTCAGTAGCTGTTTTGTAGAACTTATTGGCCCCGAAGCAGGATATCCCTCCCACGTCCACTTCATACCGGCATCCATCATGATGCGCGTATTTGGTATAGACTGGACGGGCTAGTTTGTTTTGTTCGCAATATTCTATTTTTCGGAAGATTCAACGTTAGCTTTCATCTTGTGTATGAAAGGGAGCCACAATTCCCCATAAGAAGAAGTAGATGATATCATACCCTGAAGTAGGGTAGTCCAAATCCACCCGCCAAGTAGCACCTGTGGGCCCGGAAGCTCAGGCAAAGTCCAGCCAGAATACTTCTCCTTCAAGCCTTCCAGAGCAGAACGACACGTCTCCGCCTTAGCAAGAAATTTATCCTCAAAAGCACCATCCCTCGAGACCGTGGCACCCCAGTACGTGAGAAAACCTCTCCAGTTCCCACCAGCAGTTCTTGCATAGCTGAAACTTGGGCGCAGATTGGCCACAATGGCGAGAACACCAAAGTAGAAGACGGCCTCGTTGAGGCCAACAGAGTCAACGTCCAAGTTCTCAAATTTTTGGCTCTGGGGCTGCTCGATGGCTGCTGCGGCCGCGGCAGTCATCACGTCATCAGCACTTTCGAGTTCGGTCATTTCCCCAGATTCAACGGGACTGCAACTGCGGCCATCAACGCTGCTACTCCCAAACATCTCAACAACAGCCTTGTGGTTATGGGACGGTGTTTGCTGGCGCCAAGGAGGTAGCAGTATCGGAGTTACAGGAGCAAATATCCCTCTACCTCCCGTGCTTTCAAAGGAGCTCACGTCAGGCCTAGGGGACCCCTGCAGCTTAGTGTAACTTGCATCAAGTAACCCAGGTCTGGCTGCATGCCCAGCGCATCCAACCTCTCCTGGGGGTGAAAAGGCTGTAGGTCTGCTATTTTCCTGGAGGGCACCCGAGCCAGCAAGTTTCAAGACCTGCTCTGGTAGGAGAGGGGGTGCTGACGCCCGTGGATTGAGATGGGGCTTTAGAGATTCTGCTGCTGAGTTGTGGGGCATCGCGTTCAAGGCGGTAGGCCTTGAGAGATTGTCCATTTTGCCGGATGAGACGGATAGGGGATCGAGGACCTTATCCGGTATTGAACCATCTTCTGGAAGTCGGTGTTGGTAGCTGGTCACAGAAGACAGTGACACGTTGTTTTGGGATATATAAGCTCGGCAGCCCGCATATTGTTTGGGGGAGTTGTCTGGGTAACAACTGTTCTGCCTATTTCCTGTGTCGTCTTGGGCTGAAATGGTTTGAGAATCCATAATGGAAGCTGAAACTGAGCCAGAAGCCAAACGTCGCGTCATACAATGCACTTAATGACGTCAAAGAGAATGTCGGAAACCATCAATGGTATTGCCTAGAACGTTCATGACTAGTATTCGGAAAGGGAAAACAGGAAACACGGTGACTGAAACCCTTAGGGGCAATGGATGTGAAGCAGTAGTTGACAGGAGACCAGCGATCGGGGAGTGAAGGCGCAAGCTCAACAGCCAACAAAGGGAATCTCCAAGAAGCAACAATCCAGTATCCGATATCATGTATCATGTATCACGATGGAAAGAATAATCGGGGGAAGATCCGCCCAGCGGAGCCTCAGCGGGTGGGAGGCAGGCGCAGCGGAGGCTTCGTTTCTCGCTAGGAAATAGTAAAGCATCATGGGAAGGCGGCAAAGAGGAGTCGCTATTGCAGAGAGGGGGCCTTTGCTGCCCAAAGTATGGATCTAATGAAGGAAACATCAAAGAGATACATCACAACACACCCTATGGATGCTATAAGCCCTAGTCCATGGTAGCTTTTAAAGGGTAATAAGGTGATAAAAATCCGTTCTGCCTTACCGTTCGAGTGAGGCCGTTAAAACTCGAAACGATGAGGCAGATAGAAAACAGAGAACAGGACGCCGGAACAACGAATAAGGAAAAGAATTAAAATAAATTTGAAATTACGTAAATCAGGCCATTCCACAGAATGGTCCCTTCGTTGTAGGAATGTTGCTGGTAACGAGTGTTGGAAGGGTGATGCCTTATCAGTAGTAGTAGTAATAATCCCGTATCCTCCCAGCCAATAATTTTTATATTGCCAGCTTTTACTCCCGTAAGTTGCAGACCTCCATCAACTGACAATTTCAACCCAACTGTGTGGGCCGTTTACTCTGAGTTTTCTGTTTCCCGTCTTGTGGCAGTGACCCTTGTTCTTGGTTCCAGGGCTTCTTCGAGTGTCTGCCGCGGGCTAACGTCCTCGGCATTCAAGCGAGACATTTTTTTGGTCGGTGAAGGGCTGTCAGATTTGTTGTCTTCTGCGATTTCCACTTGGTCCGATGTGCCGAGTCTTTTGCGTTTTGATTCAGCGGATGCCATAATGCTACTCTTTGATCGTCTGATCGTTTTTGCACTGTTCGTGAGTACCTTGTTAGAACCACGGAGGGGGGTGTCTACCTCACTCCCAGCGCCTTCTTTCTTCCCCTTCACCTTCGGGTTAGGGCTGAGCAGACTCGTCGGAAGGGGCGCATTTTCGCTTCCAAAACCCTCATCGCTATCTGATCGGGCACTTGATCCTGAGACGCCACGTACCCCCGGTTGGGGCAATTCCTTTAGCGCTCCGGGGCGGTTTGGGTGTTTAGAGTGGGATCGAGGAGCTCGAGGTTCCGCAGCTGCTGAATGTTTGGACGCTATAGGATGAGCAGAGGATGGCGTGTTTGTGGGTGCATAAGTACCGCTGGTCAATTTCCCTGGGCTCAGCGCTTCGATCAGCTGGTTATACTGTTCATCATTAATCGGCACAGAAACACTAGGCTGTTTACTGTGCTGTCCGAAACTGACACCTGTCATGTTGGATATGGCTCGACTACCATTCGAGCTTGATCCCGCGTAGTCTGGCATTGGCACATCATCCAAGGTCGAGCGGGAGCGCCGACTGAAGCCCGGCTCCCTGAAAGTATCAACGAAGGGGTCCTGGACTACAGGCTGCAAGGGCCATCTAGAGTCTCTCTCCGGCAATGCGGGCCGCGCCCAAGACGTCTGAGGGGTAGGATAAAGTCGGTGGTGCCAGGTTGTAAATTGCGAAGAACGGCCAGTATCCGAGAATCCAATTCCACGAGGCTCTAAGCGCGTTGGAGAGTGGGAATGGGCATCCTCTTGTTCCCGAATACTACCATAATCCACCCCAAGATTATATTTAAAAACGGGGCGGGAGGCTTGATGCCACATTCCCGGGTTTGGCCAGGCTAAATTCGAACCTTCTAAAATATCTGCAGTATAATGATGAGTTTCTGCCACGCTGTAAGGGCTGCCTAAGGGTCTGGCTTACTTAGTGGGGCATGTTGGAAAGAGAAGAAAACGAGATTTCTAACTCTTTCGAATGGTGGATTTCGATTGGGCCGAGAAAATCCTTCCGCGATTACAACTTTAATACGGCCAAATTCTTCTCCAGCCTCCCAGTGGCTCTGTTGAAGCATCTCTTCGTGGAAGGGGGGGAAGTGTAAACAATCCTGGTCGCCATTTTTGTCCACATCTAGTACACAGATCATTTAATTATTAGCAAGCTGCAAAAACCGCTGCTTAGATTAGCTATCGGTCTACTTACGAGAACTAGAATCTAGAACATGCTGTTAGCAAAAACGAATCAGAATAGTATATATTGCAGGATATCACATACCAATAACTTGAGGCCAACAAGTCCGCTGGTTGGTCAAGCTCCCACTTCAGGAAAAATATATAAAATTAGTATTGTATATCTGGGATCTACAACGTCGTTTAGTTCAGTTCACCGATTTGATACGTACGCAATGAAACGTCCATCAATGAGAACCCGCATCTCAAACATGACAGCGTCATCCGGCTGCATCAAGCTCTCCATCATTCTCGTGGGGTTCGGCTTTTTCCAGCTGTGGATAGATATCCTAAACGGGCTGCTGCGAGACATACTTGGGACAAAAGTAGTCAAGATAGGGGTGTAGCCAAAGATCCCCTGGGCGTAATTGGGTTGCAGAGGATGGGAGGTCGGATTAGCTAAAGTATCGACATGCATGTAGGGAGATTCTGGAAAAATAATGTATTCCCAGCGAAAACATCGCTCAGCCTTCGGTCTTATTATGGATGTCATAAAAAAAGGAAAAAGTAATATAGCCAAACTGGACGACGATAACTGACCATTGTCCCTAGTCACGAAGCATTGAGTCTTGAACTCCTGAACGGGCACTTTCGACCCCTCGGGGAAAAGGAGTATGTCCCAGTTCTCGAAACGCATGGCTGGAGAGGGATAATAAAAGATCCAACCGATCAAGGAATCTTTCATTCCCTATGCCGACGAGGAGGGGATGGGTATCAAGCAGCAAGGCAGAAATTGGACAGAGCAAACGTTAAGCAGAGCAGTTCACGCCCAAGAAGAGAAGAAAAAAAAAAAAAGGGGGGGGGGATGTTTTCGAACACAGGCCTATCCTTGCCAACGTGATAGTAGCGATGGCAAGAGGATGGAATGAGGGAGCTGAGCTGGATGCATGAGGAAGAGAAGAAGAAGCAAAACAGTAAACAGAGCAAATGGCTTCATTCTTATATGCGGAAGTCTCTGTGCCGGGGAATGCACGACGGAGGCAGGCGGTAGTCGCTCGGGAATACGCCAGGAAGGGACGCCAAAGCAGCAGTCGCACCCGTCAACAAATGGCTGTGGCAAGCGCTGCTCTCTGCGCACCCGGCAGCCGCAGATTCGGGGGCAGAAGCGGATGGTTTGCTTGTGGAGGTTGAGACTCAGGGGTTGAGGGAACAACAGCCTGACCCTTTCACTCTCGATTGAGCCCATGCAGGCAGTCCTGGAGGACACGGAGTCATCTGGCTGGGATAACATTCCGGGCACGGAGATTCTCCTTTGTCAGGCGCAACCATAGCTAAGAGCCATTGTTATTCTGTTGTCTAATGCACCTAGTTACTTCCGAGTTTTGCTGTGATGAAGCTCGATTGGATCAAACCATTGTGCCAGGCGCCCATCCTTATCACGAACAGGAGGGACACACCTGGGTAGACCTCTGAAGCAGAATTAACTACAAGTAACTAATTCGTTCGACGATGCAATTGACATAGCTTAGTTACATAAGATAAAGAGTTCATCAGCTCCAACTTCATCGGATTTTTGAGAAATTTACTTGTTTCATCTTGTAACCAGATCATTGTATGAATTAATTCTGAATCAGTATATTTAAATATATCATTCAATTATATACAATCAGTTCTCTCTCTCTCTCTCTCTTTCTCGCTCTATATATATATACACCATACAGACGTATAAGTGCCGAAAAAACAAAATATCAAATAGAAAAGCGAACATTCACAAAAAGAAACAAGAAATTCCATAACTGAGGGAAGATGAATCGAGAGATCTGTGATTTCTTCAGAGCTTAGAGGTACCCATCTAAGACATATATTTATATATATATATATACAGAAGAAAAAATGAAATAATTGAAAGAAATTCTCAACAACTGCAACTTTTATAGTATTTAGTTATATAAAAAAAAGTCTCTTCCTCAAAGCTAGCGCAATTTTTTCTTACATATAACTATAAACACTGTTACATGTACAGTACATGTTACATACAGCATATATGTAATCAACTTCCCTCAAGGCGGAGAAGAGGATAAAAGAATTCTAGAATAAGCAATTTTCAAAACAAAATTGAAGAAAGAAGAAGGCGAAAACGGAGAAAAAAGGAAGGGGGAGAGGGGCGGGTAAGAGGAAAAAAATAAGTATTTGATCATTACATTTCTCATTCATAATTAACAAAGCACAGACCTGGAGAACAAAAGATGATAAGCGATTTATGAAAGATGGAAAAAATAATAGCTCACAATTGTTTCAGGAACAAAAGCAACAGTAAAGTAGAAAAGAGAAGAGAAAAAAAACCATAATTGATTAAAAGAAGTCAGTCGAATAGGAAAAAATATGAAAGGCTTTCTTGACATAAGATATAAAATAAGCCGCTCATAAATAAGATAAAAACAGCAGAGAATATGTGTTGCACTTTAATTGTAGTGCCAGTGGCGAAAGAAGAAATTATTAGCTGTAGTAGCAGCAGTAATAGAACAGGTTAGATAAATAAGTAGAATAATCAAAGTGAAGTTAGAATAGAATAAAACGAGTTGCAAAATATTAAAGTAAACGAAGGAAGTCACAATTTCATACGCACACACAACAGCAATCTCTCTCTAACTCACACAAAATTAAAGTAAGCAAAAAGCAAGAGAAAAAGAAAATGGCAAGAGAAAAAAGTAGGCAATTTTGAAGAGAAATCACACTCATCAAGAGTTTTAAAGAGTAGGTAACATGAGTCGTTGGAAAATAATTCAAGAGGGGCTTTGTTTCAATGGATGGAAAATGAAGAAGGGGGAGGAAAGAAAGAAACAAAAAAAAATTGACAGAAGCGGCTTTTCCTTTTTGATTTGATACAACGCAAGAACCAAGACCAAGACCCATCCTTTTTGGAAAAAGGAACACAAAGAAACTCCTGCTGGTGCTTCACGACGAAAGGGACGCGTTTACTGCTAGAGAGTTACATAGTCACATTAGTAAGAAAAGTTCGTTAGAAGGTGTGCTGGGGCAACAGGGAGGAAGTGTAAAACACGTTCAACTTGAAGACAGGGAGGAATTTAGCGCCAACGTACCTTCATTGGCGCGAAACCACCACCATACGAGTGGGAAGGTGGCATACCCATGGAGGAATACATGGGTGGTGGCGGAGCGGGGCGATAAGGTGACCCAGCGGGTCCAGAATTGTTCTGAGAACGACCCCAGCTAAGCCTGACACGCGAGTTTCCAATTGGATATCCTTGCATCTGGTTGATGGCCATCTCAGCAGCGTGGCGCTGAACAAACTGGACAAAACCGCAGCCTTTTCCTGGTGGAATCTTGACATAGGTAATCTCGCCGAAGCCCTGGAAGAAAGAACGAAGTTCATCCTCGGTGACGTAGCCGGAAAGTCCTCCAACGAACACGGTGGTGTTGTTGGGATCTGTGAATTGGTTCATTGGCTGAGGAGCACCGTAGTATCCCATCGGAGGGCCACCCATAGGAGGAAACATACCAGCGGGGCCAGCTCCAGGCATACCCATTGCGCCAGGCCCAGCGCCAGCACCCTTGTTCTTGGGAGTAGCAGTGGAAATACGCATAGGGCGGTTACCGCAATATACACCTTGCATCTCAGTGAGGGCGCGCTGCTGGTCGGTCTCGTCGGAAAAGCGCACGAATCCATATCCACGCGACATGCCACTAATGGGATCCGTCATGATCTTGGCTGATTTGCAAGATGGGAAGCGACTCTGGAAGAGCGAGACCAGGACGTATTCGTTAACCTCCGGACCAAGATCACCAACGAAGATGGAGAACTCAGGGCCACGTTCCTCACGGCTACGGAAAGGTGAGTGAGTTAATGCGGTACAGAAGGTTGCACCAGAATTTGGAAGTGTACCTACCTGCGATCAGCCAGACCGCCACCGGAAGCCCAGTTGAGCTTGAAGGTACGCGAGGTGTTGGGAATGGGAGTTCCGCTCAGGGTCAGTGCCTTAGCTGCTGCAGCTGGGGTAGTAAAATCGACGAAACAGTATCCGGCGTTACTTCTAGGGATATCAATGTTAGAGCGTGAATTTTCATGTTGTTTCCTTTATTCTTTTCACCATCGAGTAGCACAAGCAGATTGGAAGGAGAAAAAGATTTAAAAGCAAAGCTCAGAAGTAGCGTAGCGCCACGTACCCAGAGAATTTGTCGCGGATCATCTTGACGTTAACTTGCTCCCCCATTTGGAACCAGAGGTTGCGGATGAAATTCTCATCAATCCAGGGCTCAAGCTCACCCATCCTAACCAATCAAAAAGTAATGAAAAAAATCAGCCAAGAAGCAATCCAAAATGGCATTAGAACCCATCGCATGCATTGCGCCACATAGAGGACAAGCAAAAAGAGTTAACAGGCGCAATCGAATTTAATAGCATACCAAAGCGTGGTTTGGCTTCGCCGGCCTGCTGAGCAGAGCCCGACGCAGGCTCGCCGTAAGCAGGGGCTTGAAAGGGAGCAGGAGAGGGATCCGACTGCCCAGCCATAGCAGATTCCGCGGGCGCAGGAGCACCAGTTCCGGCAGCAGCAGCATCAGCAGCGCCGTGCTGATTTTGGAAAGAATCGAAGTTCTGGAACGACATGATGATGAACGGTTGAGAAAGGTGCGAAATATGCGAATTATACAACACCAGGGAAGAAAGACTTAAAAGACGACGTGGGTGAATCGACGAAAATCGAAGAAAACGTAAGAGACGAAGTGCTAGGAACCTAAGTTGGGCGCAAGATGGTAGTCAGTATATGATTTCTTCAAGATTTCTGTTTTCAAGAAAATAAATTTTCATAAATTTTCATGATTTTTTTTTTTTTTTTTTTTTTTTCTGTTCTCCAGCGACAGGCAGTGTCATCACACTGGGAGTTTAAACAGGTCAAAGAATCGCTTCATAAGCTCAAGAGCTAATGAGTGCTAGGCAATTGTGAAAGAACACGAATTCCGTAGCAATTGCGACAAGCCATCGTTTTTGTGCGAGATGAAAAAGGGCGCCGACACAAAAGAAGGACACACAACGCACACGCACACGCACCTCTTGCGCCCAAATAAACCCTTGTAATGCGTTGGTATTCTTCGAACACGGCCGTTGCGACTTGAACTCGTAGGGGGTCGTTAAGGAGAGACGAGCGATGAACACCTGGTTTTTAAGAAAAGTCAAGGATCGACAAGGAAGGATAATTCACGTTTCTGCAGCGACAAATCGGGAGCAAAGATGGTTAGTAAATCGATCAAAGGTGATGGTGACGGATGAAAAGGATGAGGGAGTCGAGGGAATAGGTGGGGTGGTGGTGGAGGAGGAGGAGAAGAGAAGGGAGTGAATTGACCAGCGACACAATAATCGAAGAGTCAATCAAAAGAAACAATGAATCGGACCACGCGTCGAAAGCGACAGGAAGTGACAGCAAATTGTCAGAATGAAAGGAACACTGGGACTGGAAGGAAGAAAAACTGAAAACAGCGACAATAAACAAAGACAACAACAATAACGTTGAATGATAAGGGAAGGCGGAAAAGTGATGAAGGTGAATGAAGAGGAAAAAGTGAAGATGATGGACAAAGAGAGAGGAAAAGAGCGTCGAGTGGACGAAGCAAAGTAAGACTAAGACAAGCGTGCGGGGACGAGAGAAGGAAAAATGAAAAAAAAAAAAAAAAAAAAAAAAAAAAAACCACGGCAGAAAGGAAGGAAGCGGAGGAAGCGCCAAAGGAGGAAGAGAAAACAACGAATGAGTTGCAGGAGACGAGGCAGGCAAGGGAACACCGACTAGAGCAGCAGCTAGCAGCAGCAACTAACCACTCTCGGTCGGGTGAGAGAGGAAACGAGCCTTGGAAATTGGTGGTTGGGTGCGGCGTTGCAGGTGAGCTGCCAAGTGTGTTGCAACGGCGGGCGGTGCAGAGGGGGGGAAATTATACCACAGAAGCTAGAGAGTGAGATCGAGACAAGAGGGAGAGGGAGATGGATTGATGGAGATGTAGGGGGTAGGGGCAACAGAATGCACGGAGGAATGAAGCGAAGACCCGGGTGCCGGGTTGCCGTGGGATCAAAAACGATGAGGACAACAGACTCGCAACTCCACTCCCGTATGCCCATTGCCATGGCGATTGATGGTCTCTTGTGCCCTCGATGCCTTGGAAATATATGTGTGTATGCATGTGTGAAGGGTGGGGGGGGGCATATGGACGCTCCCTCAGCCAGCCACCTCTCGACAGACAAGCTACTTCTTCTCCATCATGTCCTTGCAGTCAAGCAGCCACTCTCGCAACCCGACATGACCAGCAAGATATCGCAACGATGGCGATGGCGATGGGGATGGGGATGCCAGATGCGCGATGAGGCTGACGCTGGCTGTGGTTGGCGCCCGCGATGCTTCTCGTCCGCTGAGGCTCTGCGGCGATGCGCAAATCCCTTCCACAGAGCTTCCACGGATGACGCCAAACACACGCGATCGAAAAGGGGGGACATGGAGAATCGCACAGAGGACCCAACACGCAGATGGAGAAAAGAACGAGGCAAGAAATGAAATGACGGAGAATCTGGTACTCACCACAGGCTGTATCTTTTCGAATAAGTTTCTTCAACTCCGAACTTGATCCCAGGGCAAGAAGTTACGATTTTCAAGGCTGCCTATACCAAATAAAATACACAGCAAAGAAATCTTGAAATGAGAAAAACCCTCCCCAAATGATAAAAAGGACGGATTTTGGCTCAGAGTTATTTTTCTCTTTTAATTGAGTCGAAGGAGGGATTGGACTTTTGCGCGGGTTTTTTTGTTGATCTGATAAAAGGCGACGGAAGAATTGGATTTTTTCTTTTTTTAACTCCGTGGTCGCGAAAACGGCAAACGATGAAGCCGACGACGCAAAAGATCAACCAACGAAACAGGGAGAACAATGTGTGTCCTTCCTTTGTCGACAGGGAGAGATGGACGGGGGGATGGATAGTGATGAGGAGGAGATGGGGGGAGGAGGCTTTTTTCCTGTAAAAAAAAAAAAAAAAAACCCGAATTAATAAAAAAACACCGAACGAAACTTCTTTGCCGGGCGGGGAGGGGTGATGGTGGGGCGCGAAACGAAAAGGGAAAAAACAACAAGATAATAAGATAATAAGAGCCTTTTAATGAACACAGCTCCGTTAATTAATAAAGCGAAAAAAAAAAGGGCCCCCCAAAAAAAAAAAAAAAAAAAAAAAAAAAAACACTAACCAGAAAATGGAGCTAACAGATGGAATGCAAGGAGAAGATGAACGATGAACGATGAACGATGAACGACGAACGACGACCAACGACCAACGACCAACGATGCGAAAGGAGAAGCAAAAGCAACCGGGACGAGCTGGGACGGAAGAGGAGGGATGAAAGGGGGGAGAAAGGTAGAGGAAGAAGAGAAAGAAGAAAAGAGGAAGAGAGGGGAGAAGGCCGGAGGAAACCAAGCAGAGGGGCGAAAATGAACTAAGAATTTCCGTTTTAGTGGTGGGAGGGGGGGGGAAGAGAAGAAAGAAAGAAAAGGGCTGCAAGGAACAGACAAGAAAAGAAAAAGTAAAAACCAAGACGTAAAACAACGAGGGGGAAAAGGGTTCGATCTATCCATGGATACTGCACCCTGTGCTGGAGGCATCTTCCTACTGATCTTACGCAGCATGCAACCGCGGGGGCCACCAAGAGAGCGCTGGTATCTCCATCTACTACAACCTGGATGTTCCGTTGGTATGTATGTGTGTATGTATGTGCGATTACTACGTGTATTTATCCCAGGAAGAGCTGATCTCCCGACATAGTACATATATATACTATATGGATGTGTATGTACATTTACCTGTAGGCTGGGAAGCCAACCATGATCAAAGCCCTATCATGGTTGACGACGCTGGCATTCTCATGTTGTCGGAAGCGAGGAAACCAAAAAAGCTTACCAGGCGGAGGGTGCTCACGCACACAACATTATCCAGCAGAGAAAGTTTAACTACAAGCATTTTTTATTTTTTATTTTTTATTTTTTTTGAATTTGAAGCATGGACCAGTATATCCTTTGCGGTGGGATTGTAACCGGCGAAAGATACCTTAATCATAAAAGGTGGTTCCTAGGGAGAAAGAATTAACCTTATAAAGAAAGTATATATTTATATTTTAAATTTGTAACCTTTTTTTTCTTCATCAATTGTTACTGATTGTTTGGTTTGAGCTGTGTAACTGAGTTGCCTGCCTAGGTACAGTACATGTAACTTCAGTCCTGTGCATCTCTCTAATTATCCATAGTATGTTCTGGTTATATAGCCCACCAACCCGCAGCCACAAACCACGGCAAAAACGGGACTGCGAAAGAAGCAAAAAGGGCGCATCATCACTCTGGGTGTTGGTCAGTGGGTGATTTCATCATCATGCATCGTCCCTGTTGGCTTCTTCTTCCGCATTACGATTCCCCCGCCCCCTACACTTTTCATAAAAACCGAAAAACTCCGCCAATTGAGAAAGGGAGAAAAGTCAGAGGAGTGAGAAAGGTGAGATTTAAGTTGGTTGATCAGCCTGTTTTTGAAAAAAAAAAAAAAAAAAAAAAAAAAAAGGATTTTTGCAGGCGCGGGCACAGCGCGTCAGCGGTTCTGTGAAGTTTAAATATCCTCCTCCCAAAAAAATATGATTTTCCCCTTTGATTATGATGATGGTTTTCAACTTATTTTTAATGACTAACCTCTTTCTTTCTACACTCGCGACGCAGCTGTACAGTACATGACATTACAACCCCGAAACAAGAAAAAAGCAAGCAGAAGAGGTTTTGTTAATCGGTGTTTAGTTGGAACAAGTTGCAAAAAAGCACTCACTGGAATCTGATCTAGCCATGTGAATTTCAACCGATAGCAAAACTCCCAAAGCCCCTCCCTATTTAATGAATTCCGTGTACCCCTGAGCAACTTGTTTTCCATCCCGCTACTTCCGAATGACGCTGCTTTCAATATAGGATTTGAAGCGATTGCTATGAATAGTTAGTGGTAACTAGTATTTTCGAGATTCTAGCTTGAACTAGCATCGGATGGCGAGCCCAATCATCCAATTAGCGAACGATACAATATGGCACCGGTCTCTAACCCGATGGCGAGCTTCTTTGCTACTAGTCGATCTGCCAGATGATAGACGACTGTTGCAAAACGGAAGAAGGGTCGTCGAAATATCTGCTGCATTTCTTTTGCGTGGTGGGCGGGTATATGGTTGAATTAAAATTTATTTATATGGTGTCTTCGGCTCAGAGCCTCTAGCCCACCTATTTCCGTCATGATCACTGCTAGCCGAGCAGTTAGTGATGCTCAAAAGACGACAAGACTGTTGGCTTTCGTCGTTTCAGTGGAGCCAGAGGCTTGCTGTTACACTTATTTTTATATCTGACTTCTGAAAGTAATTCTCTATACTCTTCAATACTCTGTCTATGTATCAGAAGAATTGTCTTGAATTGCACATAGCACACCAGCCTATATATGAAATGCATTTCTGTTTCGATAGGGGTGAATCGACCAGGATTCGTCAGGGCTGCCTTCAGCATACTGTCCTAATGTAGGAGCGCGCTAAGATAGCAATCTCTTATATTCAACGCTAATCGCTGATCTCCCAGAAGCTGCGGATATCAGCGAGCATTATATAGATAATGTTCCCACCATTTTGCTACTTCCATGGGGTTCCATCATCTTTGAACGCTCCTTTGCCACTTCTAAATATAGATATCTCCGTAATTCCCTATTACAATCATTTTCCTTCTTCAAAGGCCTGATCCCCTTATCCATAACGTGCGAAGTTCGTATTGTTAGTTGCGTAGTTGGCGTTATAGAACTCGTAGCATTGAAATCGGAATAATATCGGGAAATATATCCGAAGTGTTGTGGGTTCGGATGATAGGTTTTCCAGTTCCGGCGTTGCTGCCGTCCAATAGTAACATCCCCTGAATCCCTATCTTTTAACTTTCCACACTAATCGATTTTTTATTAAAAAGAATATACCAGTTTATCGAGAAAAGTGAGCCGTATCCTCCTATGTGAATTTTATTGCGAAGTTCAAAGATTTGGTTGCTTGGTTGCTTGGTTGCTTTTTTTGTTCTAGGTCGATTTTGTGTTGTTGAATTCCCTCCAAGGATTTTGGAATATGGGGTTCATGGGGTTCAACCATCAACATTCGTTCATTCCCTGCTGTATTTTTGTTCCTTCTCCCTTTTTATATAAGGTTCTCGTGCTGGTAATAATAGAATATCCGAACCAGCTATCTCCGTTGCTGGCTCGGAGCCTATGGAGGTTGATATGCTGTCCGCCATCGAGAGCATATGCTTGGGCTGCGTCCCCAAATTGAGGGATGTCGATTTGTTGTGTGTTCTTGGGCCCAAGACCTGAAAGTGTTGTGAGACATGTGCCTCTGCAGGGAAAACCTGCAACCCTGTGAGTATTCCCCTTTTAACCTTTTATTTTCCCAGATGGCATTTCATTCTTTCAAGGCAGCATTTTATATAGGTAAGTCGTGTCTTAAGCAATACAAATATGCTGACGATTATGCTAGGCGTGTGATCCACTTCTATTGAGGTGCGCCATGCATGGGCGCGCGTTTATTTTCTGTGGGGTGGCGGCTGGGGAAGATATGGCCGACCACAAGGAGCACCACCACTTGGTAGAGCGGCTGGATGCATCCTGTTTGGCTTGGTTGTCTGCCCATGGCAGGGTGGGGGCTAATGCCCTCTGGTCCCGCCACCGGGCTGCTGCTGTGCCTGCCGGTATGCAGGCAATGGAGGCCGCGGTTGTGCCTGCTCCTGGTGCATGGGTGCACGATGAAGAGAAGGAGGTTGAGAAGGCTGTGGAAGGGGTCGAGGAGGAGGATATAGGGATTCTTGGGGGTTGGAGCTCCGGGGGATCGGTGGGAGAATCCCCGGGGGGGGTTGGTTGTTGGGGGTTTGGTAGGGAAAGCGGTGGCAGAGGTACCGGAGACGCCTGAGGCGTATACTCGGGCGGTTGGCGTGCTTTGTCATCGGTGGAGGATGGCGGATGGGGGGGGATGAGACGCGTATTCGCGAATACGGGGTTTCCTTTGACCATGGTAAACTGTGACGGATCTTTGTTGATTGAGTGCAATAAGGCCTCTTCAGCATGTTCAATCATTATGGTCGGGTCTCCGACTTCGATTCTCGCTGCCGCAAGTGCGTCACAGTGGCCGTCAGGGTTGTCAGTGACGTATCGGGCGTTGCTGACTGCTCCTTAGCTGTATGGAGTCGCTGCTCCAGGGCGGCTTTCCTGTCTGTCGAAGACAGGTCGAGAGCTGGGAGTCTTATTTCAAAAGATACTTTTGAATTTGGTCTGACAAACTGTTGACGGATAAGAGGAAGGAGTCACAGGAAGGAGAAGAAGATGCAAGTACAGGTCTGTCAGTATTTTCAGTTGAAGAGATAAGAGGAGATGTGATGTACAGTACAAAGAGCCACATGTCCTGTTTGTACCAGGGAGCCATTGGTCCAAGTACCGTACCTAGTCAAGTAGGCGTATTGTCAAAACGATTGTTCAAATATCATTATTCGACCAGGAGCCACCTGATCCACAACCAACGAAAAGGAAAGGAAGGAGAAGAACGGGCTTATTTTAATGCTTGTGCGTATAACACCAGAGAGTGTCTCATAGCAGTGGCAGAAAGCAGCCGTCACCATAACATTGAGAAAATTAAAGAACATCTGTAGGTGCTCTAGGTCCACAGGTGGATACCTCCCTCCCTCCCAACCAAACAATAGGTATGTTCAGTACATAATGGGAATTCACACTCCCGATGTTTCTTGCCCTTAGAACAAGGAATAAAATGTTGTTGGAGCTCCTTCGGATCTCACGGATTCATGCCCAGGAGGCTGTTCATGATTGGTAAAAATCTCAAGTAGAAAGGAGCACCCTCGGCGCAGACAACATTTACGTACCTCCGTACATACATACCTGCCCTCCAGATATTGAGCAGGTTTGGTATGCATGGTCGCTCTTGCCGAGCTTCTGTATCATATAAATAAAACATCCATTTGATGCCCAGCGCCTTCCAAAAGCACAAGAAAACAAAGAGTATAAAGCTGAGCTCCTCCGTCCCGGATTTTCTCTTTCATCTTCACTCATCTGTTGGTATTTCAGCATACTCCGTCCCCATCTCCTTGAGTAGGGTTAGGACGGGCCAAGTTGGCTGGCCGAGTTGGTGCACATGTACAGTACATACATGTACAAACCACCCCTTAAACAGGTTTTCAATCAATAGCTATCGTATCTGAGGTTGGCAGGGCTATCTTCCCGCCGTCAGGAGGACCCCCGAGAGCATCCATGCTAGACTGCCCTCATCAGATAATGCATGGATTTGCGAATGTCCAAGGTGGGAAACATCGTACTGAGGCATTTTCACCCAACTCCTCACTTCCTCTCAGACCATTTGGCGGATGCTGATATCCTTCTGACATGTAGAAAGTTATACAAAATCAAGCTGAATAACGGATCCGTGAGGTGGAGAGTCAGAAAAATTGAACCAAGGACTGTCCTAATCACTACACACTCAAAACATTCGCGAAAGAACGTGAAGTTTTGGAACAGAAAATATAGGAAGGCCAATCGAAATTATCTGTTGGTTTATGGCTTTTCATCATACTCTCAGGTACGATCAAACAGCTTCGTACTCAATAGTTTTCCCCAGTGAATGATGATAAAATAAAACCCTTGTTACGATCTGAGAACCTAGGTTCGATGATGAAAATTAACAAGTCTGACACTATGCGCTGGCATACTGGGGGTCTGGTATTTCTTAATAAAGAGATTGGCTTTGGCGTTGCTGGAAAAGGCGCCTGCAGAGAGGCTGACCTCTCTGTAGTTAACAGGTTTCGTGCAGAAGAACGTCACAAGATTATAATGAAGAGGACAGGGCGGTCGGTAGGGTTGAGGGCAAATATAAGATATATTGGGGGAGGGGGTAATACTTACCAGAAGCTATGATGGTTGGAAGATAAGGGTGTTGGAAGACGGAAATGGTCAATTTATGTGAATGCGTGATGAGTCATTGGTTACATCAGTTAGCGTGCTTCACTTTCTCGGCCACTTTGCACCACTACGCCAATTTAGTCAAACAAGACAAAACACAAACAGGTACACGTTCATATTAAATTGGCGTGATGGTACAAAATGGCTAGTTACATTAGCTAGTCATCAACTGGATTTTTCTCTCGAGTTGACTAATTAAGCTTGGTTAGCTCACTACTCGTAGTTAGTTGACTGTCTACAAACTTTTTTGATTGGGGCTGAGATTCTCTACGCCCGTACTCAGGTTCGTTTGGAGATATATCCAGCAGCTAAGCTGCCATCCCCCACGAATCCCAGCTCAATTGCCTGGGATATATCAACAGAAAATTTACCTTACAAAACTCAGTTTGATTAGAGAGACCATTTCCAGGGTCAATATAGTACTCTGTACTCATCATAAAGGGGTATTAATTCACTCGCGATGGATCCTTGTTTTCCATGGTAGAAACGCTCCCCTCCCGATTTTGTGCGTGAGTACGAGTGTCTCTCCTTCCATCGCCATCTCCCTGAAGTCAACTCTCTTGATGTTGTATCAGCGACAGTATGGCAGTATATCTCCGCGAGCTTCGCCAATGCTCGACGAGGTTGCAACTGCCCTGGGCTCGCCTTGGGGGCTAGCCAACCAACATCGTGCTTGTGGTACGTCACAGTAGCACCTTAAGATTTTTAGAAGGGTAATGCACTCCGAACTGTGATAGGGCCAGGGTATCTCCAAACCTCCAAACATTGGGAGTGCTAATTCTAAAGATCCCGGGTGCTTGTGACAAGATAATTGAATACCGCTGTCTTGCTTAGCTAGTATATTTCCATACATGTCATAAGCATTGGGTTGTTTAAGGGTAGGAAATGAGTACTTACATTAGGTACCAAGTTAGTAAAGTATATATAGAAAAACCGATGCCGAGGATCTTCCATAGACTACCTAGTTACTATCACCAGACTTCCATCCCATTATAACCGCCGCCATTGCATCAATGTTGCTCTTATGATCATGTAGGTGGCGTATAAGGGGTGGGAAGGCCTATCATGATATGTTGGCTCATATGTATTGTAAATGCGTAAGCATGTTGAGGAATTATGATTTTTACATTCGTTTATTCGTTCATTCATGACCTGGTACTTATCAGAGATCGTGTGTCCTATATATAAAACGAAAAGCAAGGGGGGGAGAAGGAAGAGAAACTAGGAAGTCATTGAAACAAAGGGGAATAAGAGAGACACCAACCTCATATCATATACAGTTTACCCATCCTGCTTCCCTAGCTCATCGCCCAATATCTGAATAGTCCTCTCGTATACCCTCCCAGATTCCATTTCCCATTTCCCAAGTTCATCCCCAAAACCCTCAAATCCCAGCCTTCCCCCCTGCCCACCATCGTAATCCGCATCGCCATCATCATCATCGTCGTCATCCATATCCATACATACACCGCCTTCCCCGTCCTCATTCCCTTGCGCACTGACAACAATAATCCGCGTGCTCTCCGCAATGCTCTTAATCCTCACCTTTTCTGTCATGGAAACCACTCCAAGCTTGCCTTCGAAGCCCGGCAATGGATTACCGGTTTGCAAGTCTTTCCCAAGCAGCAGAGAAGCGAAAATGGTGTCAAGTTTCTTGATAAGTTTAAAGGTCGCCCGTGCGGAAAAAGGGAAGTCCGGGAGGTAGGTGTTTAGTAGGACTGCCAGAGAGATGAGGTAGGGGATTTGGAGGGATGCTGTTGGGTTTCGCCCAGAAATGTTGGTACAGATTGACGCGAAGTAAAAATTTGCAAGGTATATGAGTAAGAGGAGGTGCCAGGGTGTGGATGGAAGCAGGGCACGACGGGATAAAGAAAAAAAACTCAGTGTATAGGAGAAGGGAGGAAAACGACTTACGAGTCCCACTAACCCAAAGCACATCAACAATCGTTTCCATGTCCTTTGCAACCTCCCGGAAATTCTCATAGCCACGGTCCGCCTCACACTCGTCCTCGGCGAACGCACTACTGAATTTTTTTGCGTGGCGTCGGTTTATGGCTGTTATGTGACTGTCGACAAAGTTTATGACTGTCATCTCTTTGGCACTTCCTGGCCTCAGAGACTGTTTTCTTTGTTGTGGGAGACTCGGCGTGACGGTGGAGTTCGAGTTGACTGACGATGCAGGCGGAGAGGGGAGAGAAGAGGGTATGAATCCTCCACCCCCTCCGCCTGTGCCACCTCCTATTACTGCATTTGATTCCGATCCCATCACCAGCGTATCATCCATTGCGGTTGGCTAATCTAGAAGCAAGGCAGTACAGCGAAATGATGGTTATGCCTCGGTGGTCTATTACCAATGCTTCTGAAGGATCTGGAATTAGTTTGCGACGGTGATCACTCCCTTGACACGAAGAGACGAGGCGAAGAGAGTATATTGGCTTTGTATAATGTCAAGGATAGGATATTTGCTATAAGGGAATATTGGCATAGTAGATTGTTATATCCGGTCTTCCAGATGAGGGGCAACGTGGATTTCTGATTGGTTGAAATGGTATGGTATTCCTTGATAGCGAGTTAACAAAATGAGTTGATTCGGTTTCAAGTGCGGGTCGCATGCGAGAGGACTAAACGAAGTAGCCATAAATAAAACGATTTATTTTGAATTCAATATGTCGAGATATGGCGGTTTGCGGTCTGCCGGTCAGCAAGGATGAGGTAATCCTAGGAATGACGTAACTAGCAGGCCAGTCTGTACGTGACCGGGTTCCTCCACACAATTGTGTATTCCATTGCTGGATAAATTATCCTAGCTTTACAAGTTGCATGGGTGCAAATTTACATTTTAAAACAGCTTTATTTGTAATTGTTAAGTGCAAATTGTGCGGGTGTGGTTGAAATTAATATCCGCAATTAAAAACGCTTGCATGTTCCTGGAGATATTGGTCTTATAATATATCGGATGTCTTCATCACCCGAGGCTGCAAGTTATGTCATTTCGGATATTATTGTATAACATTGTGGACCGTATGCGTTCTGTATTCCAGGTTGATCTGGATGGCTAGAAGGGTATCGAGAGAAAGCAACCCAAGGGTCATTTGTATGCTTGTTGGATTCCAAAACAGAGGAATTGGTATGAGGGCACACATATCCTCTCATACAATAGCAAATCCTACGCGACTATAGATCATATTCGATATACCACCCATACTGGTGGGTGTCTTCGAACTACGGCATGGATGGAGTCGCCCCGAGCTGTCAAATTCCGCACTACTAAATATTGTATCATCATTTCTTGAATGCCCACCTTCACGATTTCTTTACTCCGGCTGAGAAAAGGTCAGCAGATGCAACAACAACCCAGGATCATAACATTCTGCCTGCGTGAAAAAAACCAAAAATAAAGACTGGGGGGAGGACGAATGTAAATAGAAAATAATAAAAAGTAACATACCTTGACCTTTCCCCTCCTCCTCTTCATTTCCTCCAATTTCCTCTTATCCTCCTCAAACTTCTTCAACAACTCCGTCTGCCTCTCCTTCTTCTTCTCCCGCATCTGGAACCGGTAGAAATCCTGAAGCCCCTTACTCTTCTCCTTATGTTTCTCCATCAACGCTCTCAACTCCTCCTCCCTCGCTACATCGTTTATCTTCGGTCCCCGCGTAACCTTCACAAAACCATCTTCATCCAACACTTCAGCCCCCCTCGCCGCCTCGCGCGAACGAGCTTCCTCAAACCTGCCAAAGATGCTCATGTAATCATTCACGATACGAAGTAGCTCGGCACGTGCGGGATATCGTAGCCTGTTATGTGATTTGTAGCGTTGGATTCCGAGGGCGGGAAAACGGTTGTCCTTCTCGTTGTCTATTCCCTGGCCCCAAATGATTTTGGCGTGGGTTTTTGCAGCCCTTTTCGCAGCCTTGAGGCTGGCTTCCATACTGGGGCGGTCGACGAAGACGACAATCGCGTGCGCGCCGCTAGTATGCAGTTCACGGTCCCATGTTCGCGGGAGCGCCGTTGCGTCTAGCTCTACCTGTAACTCGTCTGTGGTGTCGCGTTTTCGTTTCTTGGGATTGGAGGTTATTGTGGTGGTGGTGGAGGGTTTTTCGGAAGCTGTGCCGTGGAATTCAACACGTTCAACTCGACCAGCGGATAATTGGGCACCAAACAGATGTCGCAAATGTGTTTCTGTGGTGCTTACTGGAACATTTACAATGAAAATGGAACGGGCGGAGTCTGGGTCAGGAACTTTCGGTTCGTGGGGACGGAGGTAGAGGTAGTGTGTTGCGGAGGTTGGGAATGAAGGAACTGGTGGGAGCTCGATTGGTAGAACTGAGTAGCCGGATATGCTCTGTGGAGAGAGTCGTTTGGGCGCCATGGTTGTAGCTCAATATACCTTGGCTACGTTTTCCGATGTTGGTCTGGGATAATTTTTCGTGAATTCAATGAATTTTCAGATAAAGATATTTTACATGAGAAGCAAAAGCTTGGCGCTGTGGCTAATCCTTCTTCCCCTTGTAATTTTCAATACAGGTTCCTTGAAAGCTAAACGACATTGCATGGATGGATAGTTAAGACACGAAATCAAACAGCATGTAAGATTGTGGATTTATTTCTACGTCAAGTTGGTTACCGTCTGAAACCTCGAGTTTATATCTTGTCTGGATCATTGATCCCTCCATTCGTGATCACGTAGATGGCCTCACGCTCCGGACAATCTGCGAAAAAACCATAGTGAATAAAACATATCATGACACTTGTTTTTTGATATCTTTGGTCAAATTATTACCTGGAGAATCTTGGATCTTTGCGACTCTTTCATCACCTCGACCTTTCCGAAGCAAGACTCGAGTGGTTGAAGCGTGTGCTAAGATATGCCCTCCAACCGGTTTGCGTCCATCTGCGCCTGCAAAAAGGGAACTCGCGCCAGGATCGCTCTGTACCTGATTTGTCTGTGTTGTGGGATAAGCACGAATACCAAGAGCTAAACTTTCTCTGTTCTTCGAGGCGCATACCATCAAAACGCAAACGTTAAATTCTGGAGCGCGAATTGTGAGCCAAGACAGTCCATGGAAGATGCAGAGCGATATCGTCATACATACCTTCTGCCATGTGCGCGAGTTTCATTAAGAACTGGTTCAACTTTTGCTGTCGATCCGCCAGTTCCCCACGCCCACAGTAATCGACGCGGAAACAGTTCATTATGCTATCGATGATCAATAGGCGGTACTCACCACCCACAAACTCCTTTGACAGTGTGTTCAGAAGCTCCAGCTGGTGCTCGCTGTTCAGTGCTCTAGCATAAGCAATATTCTCCAACGCGGAATCTGGGTCAACACCAAACCGCTCCGCAATTTGGGCGATTCTTTCAGGCCGGAATGTGCCTTCTGTATCGATATAGGCCACCTTCCCTTCCGCACCGCCCATGTCCTTTGGCAGCTGCGCCATGACGGACATCGTGTGCGAAAGCTGTGTTTTACCACAGCGAAACTCGCCATATACCTCGCTGATACTCATGCTCTGAAATCCACTGCACAGAGGCTTGAGTCAATGTCTCTACTCAAGGACCTTCACGCTCGGAATAATGCTACACACACCCTGCCAAGATAGAGTCGAATTGCTTGCTCCCTGTGGAAATTTTTACAACTCGCTTCCTCTGGTGGCCTAGTTCCATTGCAGTTATGAAACCAGAAGCTGAGGGCTACGTGTATGTCCATGTTAGTCAAAAAAAGAAAAAAAAATAGATTTCCCTATGCCACCAGCAGCAACCGCTGGACGAGCGAAACAATTTTGGAAGAGAGGTACATACCTGGCATTTCTGAATAGCCTCTTTAATTTTCTCTACCTTGACTTCACTGAAGCCCCTGATTTTCAATAACGTCTTTCTCGTGGCTCCATGAACAGACTAGAATATATCCGATCATCCCCATTTCCATTACCACTATTATTAGTCTTTTACTAATTTCAAATATCACTAAGACACGCAAAATGAGAGTAGTGGGACTGCCATCATTAATTAAAAGGTAAGGAAGGAGAATAGTGAATGAAATTTGGAAATTAATCCCATACAGCAACAGTATAAAATCCATTTGCTTTCAGTTTCGTAATATCTGCAGCTCCCACCCCTTAACACACGAGGACCACCATAAAATTGCTGTTAGCTGAGCTGTTTTTATCCTTCTGCTATGAAAATGGCCTGAGAACTGAGAAGAGGAGGTAGGAACTCACCATGAGCTTGGATACCGTCGATATCGACGATGAAGACATCCTGTAGAACAATGGATAGATGTAGGGTTAACCGAATGTGGCCTCTTCGATATTACCTCAACCGCGATGGGAATCAAGGCTCTTTCTCACATCATCAAACTCATCGCTGGCATTCGACGCAGGCATGGCTTTTGCTTGATAACTGAGCTATCTACCGTCGTCCGTAAATGGAGATTTTGGATCGGAAAAAAATATTTAAAGAACTTGCAGATATGGCAACGTACAGTGCAGCAAGATTGTGGAAGTAGTCTAGAGCGACAAAGTGATAAACTGATATCGATAGATGGCTGGTGGACATTCTTCAAGACGGGAAGAGAGAGTGAGAAAGGGAGAACTCAAAAGGGGCTGGTTGTGTCGAGGCAGAGTCTCCGCGAGTCACGAGAATTTCCCGATCAGGAGTGGAGGGCGCGTAGAATTCAGCCTCATCCCGCCCGCGAAGGATATTTCGCTGGGACATCTAATGCTGTGCAGCGGAGAGATAAGAGAACAAAGCAGTTTGACACAAGTCTGCTCATATGCATGTATATGCATAGGAAAATGAATATATAGAAAGAACCAATTTAATTCATAGTTAGCGAGACTCCTATGAAAATTTTATTCCGGACGAGCATTTCCTTTCCTTTCTCACCCCTTACCCGGTTATTCTGTTGACACACAACCGCCAGCAAATTTGACGCCTGGTATAATGTTACAGAAGGAAAATGCCAGCCTTGCTTTCTGGAACCCAGACGAGACAGAAGAAGAGAAGAGAGAAACAAGGTGAGGAAAGTTGGCGTTTAATAAAATAAAACAAGACCATAAATGTAGAATAAATGACCACGCCATGTTCCATAGAAAGAGGGAAGAGAGGCTCCCCACGCTTATATTTGGGAAGGGTTTTCGGGTTAAAAGGGAGTAAAAATAAAAGTAAAGAAAAGTAAAAGCGAGGGGGTGGTCTAGTTACCGACAATTTAATATCATAAATCCACGACCCCGTTACAACTTTGGTAGGAACTTGAATACTTAACAAACCCAAATCCTCCTTTTCTCGTCCACCATTCATTGGCCTTGCCAAAATATATTTTTCGATTCCTTCTCACAGATTTTCCCTGCGGAGAGAGGAAAGCCAGATTGAAAGTTGTTCCTTCCCCAACCCTTTTTATTTTAAATATCCCCCAAGCTTGTTAGCCAATTGGCGCCGTTTCATGGGGCTTATTATGTAAATAAAACCAGATGCCGAAATTCCGGATCAAAGAAATTCTTTGTGTTTGCGTCGTGAAAACCTTTTCGTTGGCAAATCGTATATATAAAGACCTCACCCCGTAGTCTGGAGAATCTGACATGGGAGACGTAATATGTGCAAAATATTTCAAGGGAAAAAGAAGAAATAATAGGAGTAAGTTTAGCAATAGTGGGCAGAATTCAGCTAGACAGATACAAAGGGAGGACAAAGAGAAAGAAAATAGAGAAGTGGTAAGTTCCATCACGGGAGTCTGATCGATTGAAGGGTGAGATGGGATGTATAGGGAAATGATGTCTAGGGAAATTGACTTTAAGCCACCGCGGTTGTGGGTGCTGAAGCAGCGGGGGCAACGCTATCCACAGCAGCAACTTCAGTAGTAGGTTCCGCAGCACTAGGAGCAACGGTTTCGTTGGTATTGGTAGGGCAATCGCGAGAGATATGGCCAGCCAAAGAGCATTTGTAGCAAACTTTCCCTGCGGAGCTCAGCGGCCCACCGTTCGGAGCCGGGCAATCACGAGAGATATGACCCTGTATGTTGTTACATAACGATAAACACATTGCCTCTGTTTCACTGGACATTTGTTGAAGTCCCTTTGGGGGGGAATTACTAACCAATTTTCCACAAGCATAGCATTTCATAGCTTGGGCCTGACAATCCCGTGCAAAGTGGTTCGGGCCGCCGCATTTGTAGCACATCGCGGTTCTGGAATACCCCGCGAATCCTCCACGGAAGGCAGAGTTGAAACCGCCACGGATAACTGGAGCGCCTCTCCCGGCACCATGCATACCGGCAGATGGGCAGGTCCGCTATATCTTAGTCAGCAAACTTCATGCTGACAGGGAGGGGGAATGCCGAAGAAGAAACAGAGAAACGCTTACAGCCAAGTGGCCGGGCAGATGGCAAATGTAGCAGCGGCCGCCCGTGGCACCTCCGCTGATGCGCAGAGTAGGGCAGTCAGCTTGCACATGTCCTAGACCCTGGCAATGATAGCATTGTTTCGCTGCGGGACGGAAAGAGTTATTATGCTTCTGCACTATCGAAAACTAGGGCAAAGGGCCAGGCCCTCCTTACTTTCTGTTGTGCGAGGACGCGGGCAACCATTCGACTCATGTCCTAAACCGATGATTTAGTTATATGAAACCAATTTCGATATCGTCTTCGTCATTCGGAAATTGGATCTTACCCGGTTGTTTGCCTAGAAGAAATCGATTAGTCTTGTATTCTAGGAAGAAAAAATGCCTCCGGAGGAGTGGTAAGATAAAGGACAGGAAGGGGGAGATATTACAGTTATAGCAAAGGCGTTCCGCAGACGAGCAGACCTCTATATTTTAGGATCAGCATTAGTTCTCAACTTACAGCAGAATCTGGGTTTTCCGGTTGTTTCTCAACTAACCCGCATAATGGCCAATGTTGCCACATTTGTAGCATGCGCGGCGCGATGACAACATCTTGGCGGGATCTCTGGCTGTCGTTTAAATTGTTAGCCCGAAAACGTTTAATCGGGTATGGCTGGAGCTTTAAGCAAATTGTATCGCAGCTCAGGGGAAAGGGTAGAAGGTTGCATGTTCTCGGGTCGCATTGATAAGCTGCCTATCTGTCTAACAAGAAGGCGAAACGAGATCGACGGAACACTAACTGGCAAGATTGAAAAGAAAACGTACACCTTTATGAGCACACAACAGCTCTTCGCGACAAGAGCGACTCACAATTCAGAAAAATCTGTCCCTTTGACAAAAAAAAGAAAGAAAAACGAAAAACGAAAAAACGTCACTCAAGGCTCCGGTCCAGCGTTCTTGATAGCCTGTCTTGTTAGCCTGGAGAATTACAGTGGCATTCGTGCTTCCCTAGGCACTATGAATGCCAGGAGCGTTCTCGAATAAATCCCCAAGATCAGGGTCGACTTTTGAACAAAATAAGGAATGATAAAAGGGGGGAGGAACTTACTGACAACTCGGCACGCCAATCTAAAGCCCTCACTTCTTCTCTCCGGTCCCACCAGGCCACAGAAAAAATCCTTCCAGGGTGTAAAGAGACACAACTGTTGTCTATGTGGTTGCAAGCTCGAGACAAGAAGTTGTCGGGCTGGGGAAAGCAGAAATGAGAAAATCTTTTGGAAGCTTGCCGACCATGCCGAAACGGGATTAGCGCTGATTCGTTCCCAAGGCTCTGGGAATCGGATAAAAAAAACCTGCTAAACTGTAAAAGTGCCCAGGAGAAGGTAGTTCCAAAGTCGGGGGCTACTTCTTGAAATTGAATGGGGCTCATACTATGGAGCACATACTCTACACATATTTCTAAATACGCCGGTTAGGATTAATTAGGGATAGGGTTTAATTTGAGAATCGGAAAGGATTGAGATAACACTATCAGGCATATGACCATGTCTCCAGCACTATTCCAACCAACGTTCAGCTGTATGCTGGTACATGACTATTTTGCTTGGAAAATATTTCGTTCAATTGCCGCGATGTTAAACATTAGTAGAAAGAATAAATAGGCATTTTCCCTTCGCGCAGTAGTCAAATCATGCTGGATGTCTAACAAATACCCTCCCCAATCGTCCGATTAATGCCAGGCTTGTGGAAATATGCTGTTGTACCGGGTGGTATCGTAATGAGTGTTGTTACTGAAATCGATTTTGATGTTTGATTCAAGCGCCTGCAGTCTCGCGTTCAATTACCGCTGGTGCCTTGATGGTTCTACCTTTCAGGAAGTCCAGGCCCTCTCCAGCCTACATGAATTAGTTTTATGGTTAGTGTTTGTTTAGGGCCGGCCGTGTAATAGAAGAAATAAAGTGGAGGGTGTCTCCTTACGTAGCTTATCAGAGGAGAAACTTCAACGCCAGACGTTTCATCCGATTCAGCCTCGACAACGCCGCCTGCAGCCCGAATCCACCGCGCACCCTGGCGCATGATATCCCTCTTGCTGGTATCGGGGTCATCCTCCCCTTTGCCCCGAGCATTTTTTAATGGAGAAAATTCATCTTCCCGCTTAACTTCAATGGATGCAAATTTGTCAAGGGGCAATAATGGAAATACGTCGAAAACAAACTGTTCTAATTTGATCCCATTGGGTCTCTCGGGTTTTATGACATTCCCTGTCTTAGTATCGATGCAAGGGATTTTCTTGCGAGCAACATGGTGTGGCAAGTTGGGTGCCCAGACTTCGATGGATTCGAGGAAATGGAATGAGTAGTAATGGTTCACAATATTCGCTGCACGGAACTTGAGGACGTCAGGGTGTTTCGGATCCTGGGCTTCAGCAGTTTCCTTGTCTATTTCGGAGTATTCCACAACATCTGGCTTTCCATTTCTCAACAGGATCAGGCCGACAGACTCAGTAGCATTCCGCTTGCGTACGACTTTGGTAGCAATGTCAACTCCCTTTGATGCCGCAAAACCGAGGAAGATAGGGTCGGCAACCTTCACAAGGCAATTATCGACGCAGTAAGCATGGATATGCTCGATGCCTCTATTCTTCATGTCTGTTCGGATGCCCCACGTTAAAAGCGCTTGGTATATGCCACCATTACCATCAGGTGCCACCGCGACCTATTTTGCATCATACATGTTAGTTAGAATAAGAAAACAACAAATAACACGATGAGAAGCAGGGGGAAAAGATATGGGAAGCGTAGGAAGACGGCTGGTAGAATCCCCCCCTAAAAGTAAATATGGTATATATACCTTTGACTTGCTTTCCATTAATATTTTACCTTCGTTAGATATGCAGGGTAGCACGCCTTGCTCAAAGATTATAACGTTTTTCTTATCCAGGCCAAAGAAGTTATGCTCCTCAAAGAACGACTGGGTTGGCTGTCGAGTTGGCCCACTGGTCATTACATACCACGGAATAACCACGTTATCTTTACCAGATGACTCCCGGGCTAATTTTTGCAGCTTGATAATTCTCTCCGCCTGTATCTGGAAAAGCGACTTTTTGCTTGGCAGCCCAATATCAAAGCAACCCTTTGGAGCAGCGCTGCCTAACCGAGTTCCCTGGCCGCCAGCCATCAGCACAACGGCTACCTTGTTAGCGGCAATCAATTGTAGCCCAGATGCGTAGAATCGTGGTAGACAATCGGTATCTGAATCGATCATGGATGCCGTCGAAGATTCTGGTAGAGGTTCGAGGGTGGCTTTTTTACCGTCCTGTGAGGCGGCAGCAGGGTTGAGTGCTTTGTTGGCAAGCTCGTTGATGCGGCTTGGATCGAACTTGGAAAGCTGTTGGAAGAGTTGGGCCTTTTCGGTAGATTTCAGCTCATCGAAGAAGGCAAATACTTGCTCCTGTCCTGCATTTTCGTATTTTTGTTTCAGGGCATTGACCTCATCCCGCGTTGGCTGGCGGGGTAGAGCTGGGTCTTCCTTTCCACCAAGGTGGAGGTGGTCATTGATATTTGACATGAGCATGGACATTGTAGCAAATTACAAATTAGCTGGTAATACGGGAGAAGGTAGAATGGTTCGGGTGCTGGTTAATTGATGGTTTTATCCTCAAAAAAACAAAAAAAAAAAAAAACGGAATGGAGTTGAAGTTATATAATAAATAAAGCCAACAAAGAGATCGATGGCACAAACGCGAAGCCTTAGCTGAAACCCCACCAAACAAATATGTATTTTAGGCGTGTGATGTCAGCGGGAACCGGGGTTCATGAACTTCAGGTGCTTCAGCCAAATCCAACAAGCATTCACTCCCCTGTTAGGGTCATTGCCAGGGGGAGAGACAAAAATGAAAATTATTCGATAGTGCCAGAGGCTGGGCAGCGCGCTTCTAAGACATGGTGGGCGCAAGCCAGCCCAACCCTGGCCTGATCCTGCTGGCTTGGCTGCTTGGGTGGCTCAATTACAGTGGCGCAACGAACACGGTTCAGCTCAAACTCAGGAACTTTCAGAGCGAACATTTCCCGTTTTAACTTTTCTACGGAGACAAATTCTTAAATGACAAGGAGAATATATTGCACATCGGGCATTGAATTTACAGGAGATGGCTATTTGTCACCGCGGACGCCCTTCGCTTTCCCGCTTGTATCTCCAGGAGTCCTTGCTCTGTCGGTACCGTCCAACATCATCATCTTCATACCGGCGACGCGATGGAGACCTGCTCCGATGTCTATGTCGTCTGGCTGGGCTTCGACTCCGAGAACGCCTGTAAGATTCAATATTCCCCCTCCTGCGCATATCCTCTTTATCGAATACCATTCCATAACCATCTCGCCCTGGCGCCTCAGAAGCTCTGTATTGACGCCGCTTCTCTAAGCCGGATATTCCCCCAAACCCACCCTGTTGACTGGCTCTCTTGGAATTTGTGGCATTTCGCCAACTATCTGATAATTTCGAAACCTAGGTGGAAAATCAACAGGCTGGCATGCAAAGTACGTTGTAGCATGGTAGCAGGCGAACTCACACTTTGAGAGAAGTCGACGTGGATTCGATGGTCATCAATCAAAACACCTTGCATTTTAAAATAAGCTTGTTCACAGTCTTTTTGGTTCTCAAATTCGATAAATGCATACTGCAGACTGTCGCCGGTCCGCTTATCCCTTATCACCTCACAGGAGAGAATCGGTCCAAATCGACTAAAAATGAGATGAAGATCCTCATCTATTGCGGTTAGTTTGGTCTGGCGACTCACTACAAGAGCGTAAAGAAAAAATGTGACCACGTACCTTGAGTTACAGGATTTAGTTTGCATACAAAGAGCACGTTCTCTGGTGGCTTAACCTCAGCAAACGGCAAATCCCCAACCATTTCTAAGGTTAACGCCTGCGCCCGAGCCTCGCGTTCCCGCCGTAGCTTTTCCACCGCCTCCTCATCAATGTTTTCGTCCAACTCTTCATCGTCTGCAATCATTACCGTCGCCAGTTGCGCCTTCGAAGGGAGCGGGCTTTCTGCGGGTACCACAAGACCTGGAGGGTCATCAAATGGGTCGTCTAAGATCACCGTATGCCGAATTCGGATATCTTTAAGTGGACGCCCCTTGTCATCAATGAACGCATCATTAATCTTCTCCAAGACATCGAATCCCTCTACCACCTTCCCGAATATAGCAGCTTTCCCATCGAGATAGTCAAGATTATCTCCAAGAGTTATGATGAACTGACTGGCAGCAAGGCGCTCGTCAGGATCTTTTGTGGAAGGGACCGTAGCCATGCTAACCGTGCCACGTTCTGCATGCTTCATCTTGGGCGGTAACTCGATTAGAAATGTTCTTCGCGAAGGCCCATTGAGGAGGCCCCAGATAGAAGACCCTCCATCGCTATCTTTGGAGTCAGGGCCAATAGGGTCGCCAGTTTGGAAGGAGAAATTCTTCTGGACGTTGTATACCGGTGAAAAATTGTAATACTTGACCTTGCATAACTTCAAAAAACTGGATCGCAATGGTTTGGAGATCTTAGTTTTCCACTTCAACCACTTCACTATTGTACAACATGGGAGACGTAAAATACCAAGGATAGGGTTATAGGCAGGGCTTCCCACTTACTTCTCACAAGCTTTGGGGGAAGAATCGATCAAAAGATCTATAACGATATCACCCAAGGAAGTCTCCAAGATGACGCTCATGGTCGCGAAGATATCGAGCCAGGTTAAGAGTGAGGCAACTGATTACTTCAGTCATGGGATGTGTTAATTGTGAAATTGGGTGGGGGAAGGACGTGAGTCATATCGCTATATAGTTCGCGGTGCAAAAGCTTGCTTCAAGGCGTGGTTGTTTCCGGGGTTGCGGGATTCGCGATGTTTTCGTGTGAGGAGGTGAGGAAGTGAGGCTCAAGCAGAGCTTGGAGATATCTCGGAATGACGACGGTGCGGGTTTGGCCGCTTTGGGTTAGGCCAATCAGACTGGGGCTGCACTGTCTCTGTCGTGTCGAATGCCTCCAACTGTTGCACGCGATGACCTATCCCCGATTTCCCACCTTCTGTATTTTATATTCTCCTTGCAAGATATGTTACAACACGGAAAACAGTTTTATGATGATCTGGGTTTACATATATGATCGGTTATCTGCTCAACTATCTATTAACCTTTTAGCAAATGCCATTCTTCCGCTCTTGCTGGGCGGGTTATCCCGATGAGGGTTCTCAAACAATTTTGTAAGCATGCTATGAGGCTCCCACGTTTCATTTATACCTGACGGGTTCATTTAAGACGGTGTATATCTATGAATTCGAGAGTTGTTTGTTGTCCCGCCCTCTCGCGGAATACCGTTCCGACTCTAATGCTGATTGCCCTCCCAATTCCAATTGCAGCGGCGCGAGATGTCAACCGTTCGTCACATACTTTTGATTGACAGAGGGTCAATGCAAGTCAAACTATTTTTTAAAAAGGAAAAATGCCGAAAAGAAGAAAAATGTCCCTCGTGTTCAATGAAGTGTTTTACCTCAGTACAGTCCTGGTTCGCCTCAATAAATATTCAGCTTTCAACCGTTTCACCGACCGTTGAAACCCTGTTTACTCGCATGAGATTTTCTAATATGTTTAACCCCAACCATTTCATCTTGTATGTTTTGCGATTGCTGCGTGCACGTGGAGGGCGGGCCGGGCAATCTATGGGGCCTAATGACAGCAATGCTGTTTGATGGGTCTTACCATCAGTCCATTCAAGCCTCATGCATGAGGCTGTAATATACATTAACCTTCCAGGGGAGCTTCCCGCTTCCCGGGACCCAGCAGGGCCCCAACCTGTTGATTTCAATACTTCCTCATCGTTTACATTAGCTAATCTACAGGGTTTTCTTTTTGTCCATGTGGGCACGAACATTTTCGAAACGGTGTATACGAAGAATTTAGCATGAGAACCATTTCCTGACTGGCATGGCAAAGCATAACTTGATTCTCCTTGGTGAAACATAAATCTTCAGCAGGACTCCGCGCTTATTTGTGCCAGCTGTCCTGTGGTTTCACATCGCTTATAAATGGCACATACATATAAGTGGAATATATCTTACTACTCTGTTTCTTCATAAAGCCCTGAAACTGAAAACAATATTTAGCCGTCCTGGTAGCGTCCCGTGCGTTCCTTTTCCTGGAAACCGTTGAATTCCTCCAATCACGGTAGAACACACAATGATACATATCATCAACCAAACCAAACCGATCTGAAGAAGACACAATCTAGAACCTGTTATTTTTACTTCTCCTTACAGGCCCCTTTCTTGTAATATATTATTTTCAAGTTACTGCAGTGATTTAAATTATATCACCTGGAGTGGAATGCTAGCACATCATTCCAATCTGACGTTTGAATGAGCGTTTTGCCGCGGTCATCGCCAAGATCCTCACGCGGGAGCAGTTTTGGTGTTGTAGTGCCTCAGGTCTCATCATCTCTTGCTGGTACATATTACACCTATTTGCACTGGAGCTTTTACTGAGCATCACGACAGCGATTCATGTGGTAAATGCCGTTTTACGAGTGACAGCGGCAGATGTTTGCTCTGTGCTTTGATCAGCAAGGAGCAAACAACTCAATCAGCATCTGCATTTTTGCACTGGCAAACGCTTTTCGCTTTCGGCTACTTGCTCGAATCAAAGTGACCTCTGCACCCGTCTCGCCTGTTTAAACCTATTTTATGTTTTTTCTTATCTATTATTCTTTGTTTGTTTCTTCGTCTGTGTACACGGCCAATTCTGTTCTGAATAGAATATAATTTTTGCTTTCTGAATATTTTTCTTCGTCCAATTTTGGATGGACTATTTATCCTCTTTTTCTACTACACTCGATTTCCCAATGGTCACGCTGCATTTTACGGTATCACTTCATCACCCACCATGAGGATGGCGTCCAGCGTGTGAAATACAATTGGGACACTTTTTCCGTGGCACTGGGCACTCAAGCCTAACAACCCTGTTATTCAAATAAGCTGCACGACTTTCTTCAGTTACGAACCCTGCGTCCAGAAAGCAGAACGCATCGGGTTGATACATGGGAACACCGTGGAACTTATTAGAGAATATGTACCATCAAACTAACTTGCTAATAATAAACTGGACATAATGGGTAACCCCGGCAAAACTATGGTCAGGTTTATCGCCTCCAGAGTCCTGCATATGCCTTTGAAGTAAGGGATGGAAACTACCAGAGAAAAATTTGGCAGATATACCTGCACAACATCTTTAAAACCTACACCATGCCCTGATACGTTGCCCAATTTGCTTTATTCCCAGCTATGGCTAGGATATATTAAGGATACCCAATATTACTCTTCCCTTTCAAAACTGTTTCTTGCTCGCCTTCCCGAAGCTTGTCAGTTGTTACACGCATGGTGAGCTAGGGACATATAGGAGCGGCCATATCTTCTGATCTTTGCTTGCTTGCAACAAAAGCGGACAGAATATATTATGTCTCCAGCTTACTACGAAACCCAGGAAGACTTGCAATTCTGTCGGAATTCTACACGGGGAATGAGCTACCCAGTTTCCCAGCCACTGCGAGGAGATGCTCAACAACCCGCGGGTGGATATAGTAATCGAATATGCTCAACAACACAACCAGAGATGAAGGGCAGCGGTACATCTGTTCGCCGGCGTATTCCTGTTGCTGTAGGTCCATTGACGCAGCTAAAATACCTATCCCTCTACTTATCGGTTCGTTGCTTATTATTTTCATTGAAGTGCGGCCGATGTCGACGAAGAAAGATCAAATGTAGTGGGGACATTGGCAATGGCCAATGTAGTAACTGTCGGAACGCAGGAACGCAAGGTTGCCAATTTTTGCGGGTTTGTTGACATACCCTATTTAATAATAGCCGTGTATAAAATGGTCGCAGTTGTTGCTAACGAAACACAGGTCAATTCGTTCAATACTCAGACCAAATCACATTACAGTTGCTCCTGGCCATATCCGGGTACCGGGCCCCTGGGTGGCCCCTTTGTAAGCAACACAGGATATGAGGCACAGGTTAGCAGCAGAGCCAACTCAATCTCAATCCATTCGATGGCTCCCACATTCCCGCTGTATTCAAAGTCTCAATGTGCTTATGATCAAGCAACTCAGTTTGCTCCAATTTCGAGGAGCCCGTATATCTCCGTCAACTACGAGGGCGATTCCTCCCCGTACAGCGTATCATCTCCACCATACATCCTTCCTAACACCGATTCCTCAGGAAGCTCCAGTTACTATTCATTCACAGGAAGCCCTCGGACCTCTCCAGTTGTCAAAACCCCAAATGAAGATATTTACCATGACCAAGATGGCCATCCCACCCTTGGGTCAAATTACAACTACATGACGCAAACGCAACCTCCCACATCCGTATCAACCGAACTTCCTTCCGCACATGGCCTTCTCAGCGCAATGTCATCATCGTCATCAGGGCCTGACAGGATATTACCAAACCCTGCAGCGAGCCGAAATGGCCGTGATAACGGGAGTACAACGAACGCCCATTCGCCAGAGACTTCGCTTCCTTCCTATGGAACTAGCCCAGGATTGAATGCCAGATCCTCAAGCCATTCGGCATTGGAGGGTTTGTCGTCAAGCAGCCAGCAGAACACGATGAGGACAACGACGACGCCATCTACCATGGCCAACAGTGCAAATTCGCCAAGTACTAGCAAGTCCTTGATAGGACCCACTGATATGGGATTCGGGTACGTCCTATCCAGCAATCCCCCAGCCACAACAATGCCTTCAACAACATTCTCGGGAACGGAGTCAGTGGCGGGTTTCAGCCCTCCTACAGAGAATACGCTGAGCGGTCCATCCCACCGGGGCGGTGAGCTCCGACAGCGAACCAGCTGTGGAGCGCAGTCCTATGGTCATAGCACTATGTTGTCTGCACACAGATCATCAGGTACTTTGTCAAATGGAAAAGTGTACACCCGTCTTCCTCCTTTCGAGCCGTCGGCATCAAGGTGCTCAGAGCCCACAGTGAGCCCGACGTCTAATCTTCCAGTTCACAAAACAGATAACTTTTAGGGATAGCTCGATTCACAAATTTTTTAACATTCAATTTTTCAGGGCTTTTTTTTTTTGGTCTTAGCAGCCCCGAGTTCATATATCTCAACGGTAGTTAACGAGTCTCCTTGGAATCTCGTTTCCCGCTTGTGTGCGTGTGCCGAATATCAGTTTAATACGGGAATGGTTGGAAAAGCTGCAATACTTTCTTGTTATTATTCCTGCACGGATCTCCTATGTCTAGAAATGTGAGATATTGTCTCTCTTATGTCAAAGACACGGTTGGATTTGATTCATTTTTGCTGCGCAATTACATGCACAAAATCGTGTACTCCTTTCCTTTACTCGCAGATAGAACGCGTGTTTTATGGAAGCGTTGGGCTATTTTTCGTTTTTCTCTTGTGCAGTCGGCAAACTCCAGGTTGCCGGTTTAAATGGACGCATTTTGGCTTACACACAAACCGTCCCTACCGTGTATTAGACCACATCTGTTCTTTCCTCGTTGTTTGTTACATCTCTAAACATACCCAATGGCTGGTACCGATTTTTCGGATATCAAAAGATATTTGAGGCAATATATGGCGTGCGGTGATTGGAGTACTTGGTGGAGTGCCTTTTTATTACTTCGCTAGTGTGGAACGAAGTCGGCCTGTTGTCCCCTTGTTGCTGGTTGGGGATCTGCCCGTCATTATCGCCACCAAATTTTGATAGATTATCGTATAAATGAGAAAAAGGGTTGTCCATGTACCGTTTGCAAAATTGTAGTGGAGTGAGGCAATAAATATGAGTGAAAAGGCGTTATTTCACGAAATGGCTTGATTTTCGGCTAAAGTACATCATTGATGTAGGTAGATAAAGAAAAAAAATTTCATCCAGCGCATTTTGGGGTCCTTAAATCAAAAATCCCATGTCGTGATATCTCCGCCGAGCACCGTAAAAACCAAATAAGCAAAGAAACACGGAGTCCTCCTCTATTTACCCTTCTTGTCCTTCTTTGGTCCCTTGGTCTTTTCTGTGCCCCGGAACTTCTTTGACCGGTTTTTCCTTTGTTTGCCTGTATATCAAGTAGATCCACTTGTCAGTGAAATCCCAACTTATATTTTTGGAGGATTGGGATATGCCAAAAACATACGTTGCTGCCTGCTGGCTTTCTCAATCTTCTCCGCAGCTCCGATGCGGACGAGGCGGTAACGGGGTTCAAATTTCTTCAGGGCTTCGGTCGAGTCGTAGATGAGAGCGAAACCGGTGGTCTTACCACCACCATAGTGCGTGCGGAGACCGAATACGGAGACTTGGTCCTTTTTGGACTTGTAAAGTTCTGAGAGTTTCCCACGGAGCTCGTCCTTGGAGATGTTGGCACGGTTGGGGTGGAGGATGTCACTGATGTGTGCGATAATGAAAACCCCCGTTAGGAAGCCATTGTATCATCTTAAAACCCGAAAACAAAAAAATCAAGCGTGCATTTCCATCTGCAAAATTGCGATCGTGATCCCCCAAGGCGTCTATTTGGAATTCGCACAAAAATGAAAAGAGCAACTTACACAACCATCTGTTTTCTACCCAGAAGCGGGTTCCGGATGAACTTGCGCGTCCGCAGAGTCACCGCAGGTTCAGCCATGGTTGCAGAATTTTCAAGAAGGGAGCCACCGGCAGTTCGAAAAGTCTGCTTCGACGAAGGGGGAAGATTGTCGGCTGCTGGGGTTTGTCAGTTGTCGCTGTCGTCAAAGAAGTTGAGCGTTTCGATGTATTTTTGATTTTGCCAGATGTGGGTTCTCGGCTAGGGCCATTCACCCTCGCCGCACTAGTCCCGATACGGCAGTTTCCATGAGGTCAGAATGAGATTTGTTTCCAGTCCTCACCAACACTGATAGTTACGCAGCGCGCAATAATTATAATAATGATGCAGCCTCTCATTGAAAGCCAAGTGGATTTACTTGTGTCTCAGTATCTCCAGCTGCTTGAACCACAATACCTCTGTTTCCCCCCAAATAATGCTCTTCTCAGACCCGCTGTTCAGCAGCTGATCTACCAGAGAATGTTCGATGAAACACTGGTTTGGCCTATCCCTCCACCAGGCTATCGTATCCGGGTCCTAAAAATGCTTATATCTAAACTGGAGGAGTCAATTTCTAACTCTGACGAGGATGTATGACTCCTTTCATTCTTGTTTTCGCTACCGCAAATCAAGGGCTTACCACCACCATGATTTGTCACATTTCTCTTTGTCATTTCCCCTGACGATATCTCAATCTCCCAGGAGGTCTTAGATGATCTCATGAGGAGTTATAGTGATCTCATCAGTTGCCCACGACTGCCCCCTTTTGAAGAAGCGCAGAAGTTGTCTTACATCCGTTACACAGCCCCCAAAGCTTCATGCGGACGCCGTAATGATCAATTCGTCATAACGTTAGAAAACCGCAATCTCATACTTGCTTCGAGAACTACAGGATTCCGCACATGGGAAGCGGCCTTGCATCTTGGCACTTACCTTACAACCCCGGAAGGCAGGTCGCTAATTGAAGAGAAGAATGTCGTAGAGCTCGGGAGTGGTACGGGGCTTCTTTCCATGTATTGTCTGAAATGTCTTGGTGCCCGGAGAGTGACGGCTACGGACAGAGACCCTGCATTGATATCTAGCATCAAGGACTGTGCAATCCGGAACGATCTTTCTCGCAGTAGAATCGATGCGCAGATATGGGAGTGGGGAACTCCATTACAACCTAACCATCCTCCCTCGTCAAAAGAACCGTACAAATCATTTGATGTTGCACTTGGAGCTGATCTGGTATGCATGCGACACTCCCAATTCATTTTCCCAATATCGTCGTTAGTGGCTGATGAAGATGGCGACGCATTTGCGCTGTGACTTATATAAATGCGCAGATATATGACATTGACCTTGTACCCCTTTTATTATCAACGTTACGAGAATTATTTGACAAGCACGGAATCAAAGTGTTCATTATATCTGCCACACTTCGAAACCCGGAAACGTTTAATGATTTTCTTAAAAATTGCGGTGCGCGATAAAATTTCCCTACCTCTAAATCGTCATTTCATGTCCTCTTCGTGAAACGTTGCCAGTGTGCTGACGGCCTTCTCTTGGCCAGAATGGAGCGGTTTAAACTCTCATCGGGTAGATTTTGAATCTCCACCCTTAGAATCCCAGGATGGATTTTTCCACAAAACTGACGTTCCCATCCGGACGTACAGGATCTCAGCCCCCTTACTTCCTTGAGAATGTTCCATACTTTATGAAGTCTTCTGTCCGATTATAGTTTGCGTTTGATATACCTAGATTTACCCCGTTCTATGTCCATAGATCAAATAAGTTTCTGTGGACATGACAGTGGATTGATCCTTGGTCGTGCCATCTATTCTCCCTTTTTGTATTCCTATTTTCTCTGAGAAGAAATATTAGACTATGTCTCGCGGGGCATTTCGCAAAAACGACGGAGCTACTTATATCCGTATCTCGTATCGGAGGTTACTAGAAGCGGAAGCAATAGAAGCAGACAAGAATATTTTAGAATCACAAATCAAAGAAACACAATTTCCCTCTCTCCCGCCTGCCGGAAAGGCACGACAACCATCTTTTACCTATGTCCTTCAGCTAAAGGACAATGGAGACAGGCATGCATGCGTACAACTTAATATGCAAAATATACCTGCGTATCCACCGGCCCGCAAGCCCTACCTCATGCAGCCAAACAATCCCATTATATTCGTCAGTGCCAGCCTCACATCGCGTCGTGCTTTCAACTCCTTTTTTTTGTTTTTTCATCCCTCCACGAGCCGATCATATTTCGAAACATGTTGCTCCAGCAAGAACACACATTATACATATGTACGCATGTATGTATTGTACTGTACATACATGCATTGACAACTAATCCTCACAGAATAGAATGCAATTTGGACTTTTCCATTTCCTCCATTGTCTCTATTTGTATTTGTACACAGTACCATTCCTAGCAGTGCTGGTGTGCGTCGTAACTGTGTGCAGAGCATGGACCACGCCGTATCATCTGCCTTTTTCGACAGTTGGGATGAATGGGTAGGCTAGAGGTATAGATATATTGGAAAGCGGGCACGAATCAGGTAGATTAATCTACCACAAGTATATGTGCATCTCTATATGCATGTTTCAATAGAAACTCCTTCCAAGCGGATCTATAGAAAAATGAGAAACGCTTACAGAAATGTGCGATGCAATTCATTGAAAACAAACTGTTTCTTTTAACGCCGCCATTCCTGCTGAAGGCCAAGTCGACAAATGAATCCATTTCCCAAAACTAGTTCCCCTCGAAGCCTATTCAAATTTTAAACAAAATAGTGATCGTAAGGATTCTCCTTACCTCAATCCAACCTCCGAGGCACCTGAATGATGTAGCCTCCGCACACAGCATCATATTAACTAACTCCAACAGCAAATTCGTCATCTAAACTACCTATATACAATGCACAGCATTGCATAGCCAACCCCTTGTGTCCGCCTGTCGGCCCGAACCTAGCCATGTATCTATGCGTATGTAGGTACCCTTGTCACTATTGATTTGAGTGGCTGGAGCTTTAGCCAAAACCCATTGCCGTTGTGGACGGTACATGTATCACTCAACCGTATGTTTTTATTTCTTCTCAGCTAGAATATTCATTTATGACGGGAATGAGGTTTAGATGAATTGCATCTAAATTATCTAGCCGCTGATGGAGGGCCATTTTTACAGTCTGGGGAGAAAAGTACATTGGCAGAGGACTAACTGAGGAAGTACAGTCCGCAGTACACGCATGTAGATACAGTCTGCCAAACTAACCTTCCCGAGCTCTCATACATACATACATACATAGCTATATTATACACCGTTATATCTTCTATGTAACACCCATGGATATAAGATAGCTCTCAATTTGGACAGTTAGGGTTTGACTGGCTGACGACGCATGCATATCAGTTGTTAGTTGTGTGGACATGCATACGCAGGGAATAGAGCACATACAGATTGATCTGTGTAACAGTTGACAGACAACAAATAACAACCCCAGTTCTCTCCCATTATGTCATTTTAAGAATCAAGGTTATACAAGGGTGGAAAATAGAGGGTCCTATCAATAGTATAACTGCTAATCCTGTTTATGAATAGCACAAAGTCTGATTGAAAGGGAAAGGGCTGATATATTTTATATATACAATTTCGGGGAGGGGTGGAGAGAAGGAAATGAAATATATGAGCTTATATGAAAATGTAATTGTGTAATATATTATATGCATGAGGATGATATTATGGGTCGCGCCATGTTATATATTAGAAAAATAGACAAAACAAGGGAGAATGAATATGAAATAACGGAGCTATTGTCTCCAGTGCATAGGAAGCTGCCGTTGATTAAAACCAAAGAATCTGTCCGAGAGGAAGAAAATCGAAATTGGAGAATAAAAAACCATTGCCCAGACATTACAGTCAACAGGAAGGAGAGCAAGAAATACATTAGATTCAATGTTCGTCAATACATAGGAAAATCTCTAATATATAGGGAGAGTGTTGCTGTAGCTCGTGCGATGGAAAAGAGTGGAACGAAACAGCCGTGTATCAGATCAAGCTTTATATAAAGAATTGAATGAAACGATATATCAGAAGAAAGGATAACGAAAGAAACATACATATTGGGTATCAAATGCAAGTATGAGAAACGATCAGAAATGACCAAGGACGTGGCAAAGGAATGTAGGTGATAGTTGGGCATCCAAAGTTAAGGTTACTCGAGTAAGGTTGCCTGCAGCAGCTCCTCATCAATTTCCTTGGGCTGTATAGCCGTAGGCGCCTTTGCGGGAGGACGGAGCCCCGGGATAGGACCCTTTTGGTTCACCCCGGTTGGTCTGGCCATGGTCGTTGGCGCAGTCGTTGAAGAAAAGCCAAATGAAGCGGATACAGAAGTGGATACAGATGACACAGCGGAGATGGATGGCGGCTTTGGTGGACGAGAGGAGGATGCTAACGACGAACGACGCGAGGATCTGGGTGAATGCGAGCCTGCAGTTGATGCTATTGGCGTCATCCCCCATCTGCCAAAAACCCACCCACCAATCTTCTTGCTGAAACTGGTTGCCTGACGAGATGCGAAGATATCATCATCTGGATGGTGAATAGGAGAGGTGTTGTTTGGCAGGGAGCCTGTTGGGGTTGCGTTTGGGTCTGCTGCAGCTGCAGCGGCGACCAAGGAGAGTAGGGAGCGTGAGTCGGAGCCTTTGTCCCGGTTGCTAAGGGATACAGTAGGGACGATGATGTTCGTTCGTGAAATGATGGGAGGAGTGAAGGATACATCCGTCCCAGCGGATGTGATACGGCTGGGTGTTCTGATAGGAAATGCTCCATAAGGGCTGAGCATTTGTGATGGCCGGGAGCGAAGCGTATGGATATCCATCCCTGAAATGGAGAGGAGGCTGTCATGAGAGGACGCACGTTTTATTGTGTGATACCGTAATTGTGGCGAAAGTTCAGGCTCGGGCTCGGGCTCATGTTCATGTTCGGGTTCAGCTGGGCAAGTTGATAGTTGGGATTGGGTTGCATCTTCATTGGTGACTTCTTGAGCCGAAGCTTCTGACTCTTCCAGGATAGGAGCTTCGAAATAAGGTGAACTCTCATCTGCAGAGAAATTACCACCTAGCCCTTTAACTTTGTCACCTGGAGGAGCTATAGACGTATCTTGTACTTCAGGTGGGCCAGATATCGACCGGAAGGGCACATCGAAGGATCCTTTGCGATGATTGTATGGCCTAACGGATGGGGATGCAAACCCAATGCTCTCCGGGCTGGTAGGGCGAGAGGACTCAAAGCCATGGTCTACGCGATCGAAAATTGACGAGGTTCTATACGCAGACTGCGGAGAGCTCGGCATTGACGACGACATTGATCCTGCTACTGCGTAAGCGAAGGGTGGGGTCGACCAACTGCGGTTGTTCGAGGATGGAGGAATGGAGACTGAAGTTTGGGAGAGAATGGTCGACGTGGAGGAATTGGAAGCGTGTGGACGGGGTGAGACTGGTGACATCCGCGAGGAAAAGCGAGACGGGGACTCGAGAAGCGGAGATGATATCATGGGTCTCTTTCTCCTCTGACGGCGATGTATAGGGAGCTGTACCTTCTCCTTTCGCTGGGAAACAGTAGGTACAGGTGAGTGGTAATGGTGATGGACGTGGAACTCCTGGGAGGCCACTGGCGAGTACTTAGCATCCAGTTCGACACTAAGTGGGAGTCCCCTCTGCCGGGGCTGTGGTTCATTCGGCTCCGGGGTTAGTGGTTGATGAAGGAGAACTTGTTCCCGCAGGTTCTGCACCTCCTCATTTGAGTTCTGAAGCATTTCCCTGAGCTCGACGATGCCCATTTGAAGGTTTGCATTATCTTGCAAAATGTCGCGCACGAAGTTGCTAACCACCCCTGGTTTATTCTGGCCGAGGGACGAGGCCGCCGCGGCACCTTTAAGTCGACCTGCAGCGCTATCCAATTCTCGTTCAACATTCCTCCTCCGCTCCATGCGTGCAAGTAACTCCACGTGCTTTTCCTGTTCATCCCTCGTCTCCTTCTCTATCCTCTCGAGTTGATCCTGAAGATTGCGCAAGTTACATTCAGCTTGCCTCCATCGTTGGACAGCTGATTTCTCATCTTCTTTTGTAACAATAAATTTTGCCTGAAGCTCCTCTTGTTCTCTCTCCATCGCGACAATCTGCGACTCGAGTTGGGCTACCCGCGACGCTGAAATCGACAGTCGTTTAACCTGGAGCTGCGTACTCTCGAGGGTATCCGTAAGAGTCTTGATTTGAGCATCCGATTCCACGACCAAATTGTTCATGTCCTCCAGCTGTCCCAAGAGCTCGCGATTTTCTTGAACGATCCGCGCATTTTCGGTTTGGGCCCGGCACTTGTCCCGCTCAAGAAGTTCCATTTCTAATATCAGCTTTCCTCGATCCCGTTCTGCATCTGTCATGTAAGACTCATGGCGCTGTAATAATGCCTACAGGGAGGTAAAGCATCAGTAAGTACCCACATGGCGACTAGCAAAGCTAAATAGAGGAAATGAAGACATAGAATGAAATAATTACACACTTGGCCCAGCTGAGCAGCAGTTTCAACGTCCTTTTCCAGGTCCGCCAGCACAGCAGTACTATGCTGGAGATAGGCACATTGTGAACTCCCACAACAACATTTCAGCGCGGTCGAATGATGGAGGCGCGGGGACGTTCTTAGCGGACCTGCGTCATGCAGTGATGGAAATATGTGGTCCATTAAGAGAGGCTATGTAATCAGTCCAAGGAAGTAGACCATTTTTCGGCGCCCCGTAGAGCGCTGTACATGTATTGCTCCAGCTCTGCCACCACAACACAAAGCCGGCGGAGACGCGAATAAATAAAATGTTTAACTTCGAACTGGTGAAAAGGAGAATGCGTTTCATCAATGAGTGCGCCAGAACGTCTTTTTTCTGCCTGGCTATTCTAAGAATAAAACAGCGTGTTTGGAGGGTCGGGTGGGCATGACGCCAGGATGGAGAGCACATTTGAGCACTAAAAAACACCGAGATCGGGCAAATGGCTGGGCAAATCAACGCCTATTATTTTCATCGCGAACCATCAACGGTGTGTTTCTAATTTATTGGTTCCACGCGGCTCAATTTGGGAATAAACAAATGATGATTCTCAAACACATTACTTTGTTGACTTAAAATGTCACTGTTTTATGTTCCCCAGAACAAAACATCGTCAACAAATGCGATACCTATGTCGTTAACTGCCCTGTCCCCTGCGGATAACCAACCATGCCCTTGTTTACGTGGGTTCAATACCCCGCGAGGGGTAGTTAGTTCTTTGCGAACGGGAACATTGTCACAATCATTGCTCATGATCTTTTGACCTACCCAAGATTTCTTTTTCCCCGAAGCACTTTACAATAAGCAAACAGAATAGCACACCGCAAATTCATTTATGAAACTCATCCCTCAGTTTAAAGTTGGGTTCTTGTTACTCTACAATTCTTCCAAGTCCGATAAGCTCTGACAAACTATTGATATATTCAGCGTCCCAAATTCCCTCCCCGAGGTAGAAAGTACTAATGTAACTATGAGTGAAGACAGTTGATTCGGGTATATAATGCATATCATACAAATTCTTTAACATGATCCGTTTAACGCCTCCCCAAACCGGATTCTATCGTGTATACTATATAGTAAAAGTGACACCAAAGAAGCATTGGTCATCGTTCCGTGGTCGAAAAGCCGTTCGGCTCAGAGACCTTCTCTTCCAGTGCTGGACGAAGGATAATAGCATGATCTAAATTGTACCTCGCATCCGTATGGCCCTTCTCACCACATTGATACTATCGTTTCGCCAGAGGCAACTGTTTATTTCTCCTTCAAAGCGGAAATAAATTGAATGGAACTCAAAATGGCTGTGGGTGCGCTTTCCCGCTTCGAATGGTTCGCCCTGGCAAGGCGGGAAGCAGAGTTTGAAGCACGTGGACCGACTATGATGTGCTCTGACTGACGCCCATCCCTGCTGTACCGTCTATTCTCTCCCCATTTCGGTTATCTGACACGGTTTGGATTTTACGGTACTCAGCTTCCAGTGCCCGTTGCATCTCAAAGTCTGCTTGTCGCTCTCGTTTGATCCGCTGGTTCTCCAGATCTCGTTGCACACCGGCATGCATGGCCTAACAGTTATTTGCATCCAAAATCAGCAATCAAGCGTAAATAAACATATATAGCGTAGTCCAATCAGCCAAAACATACAGCCTTGTCAGCTTCCTGGGTCCAGTGGACAAAGTAGACAATGCCAGCAGTCATTAGCGACGTGCCGACCAAGGTAAGTTTTGAAGCGCGCGACATGTCCCTCCTCGACCTTTTTCTTGCGTAATGTGCTTGGAGTAGTTTGGAAGAAAATACAGTGTCCTCCCAGAGGGTCTATTTTGAGTAATTAACCTTCAGTAAAAAATTTGAGTCGTTATTTACCAAATCTGCGATGTAATTCCGAAATTATCGTCAGAGCCCGTGAGCGGTGTCGAGCGGCAGAAGCGGAGATTGTGACCTTGCTCCAACTGTGGAAGCTCTATAACGTTACTGCATCCAACAACCAATTTTACTCGGTGTCGACGCTGATCTTAGAGGTTTTTTTATTTTTTTTTTCGAAAAAAAATTGAATATGGTACGATTCTTATTCCTTTCATGTAAACACTTTCAGGAGTCACTTGTTAACTAGTGTGCATTTCTTCAGTCTGCCCAGAACTCTGCAGGTATCCAGACCTTGCTTGACGTAGGCCAATCTCCAGACTATCCCCAACCACGGACCTCTACGTCTAGATCCATAATGGCTTGCCCAAATGGAGAATATGGAGAGCTAATGAATCCCCTATGAGTGAATAGGCAGAAAGAGAGGCACAGAAAATCGTACAGAATGGTAAGAGCTTCCTTCAGGGTCGATTTAGCCTGCTACCCTTGCCCTATTCTTGGATCTTGATTGCTAATCAGTCTGTTTTCTACTCCAGCCCGAGAATGTCCGTATGATTTCTTTCTTCTCTTGTATTCAAATATGGATACCAAATATTCCCTTTTCTCTGTAACTCCCCCACTCTAACTTGATTTTCATATCTATGTAGACCGTACAAAGCGGATAAAGGACGCCCGAACCGAAGCTCAAAATGAAATCGAAGAATACCGACAAAGAAAGGAAGAGGAGTTCAGAAAATTTGAGGCTGAGGTGAGGAAATATGACCTTTTTCCAATCCTTAAGCGGACATTTGGATCCACGTGATCTTTCTACTTCAAAAAGACATACGTATATTATATCCCTACGTATAAGGAAATGACTAGAAGACTAACTGATATTCTCGTCCCTCTTACTTACTCCATTTAGCACTCGAGTGGCAACAAGGTAGCTGAAGACGAAGCCAACAAAGAAGCTGAAATGAAAGTCCAAGAGATAAAAAATATTGGCAAGAAAAAGGGCGGCCAAGTCATTGGGGATCTCATTCATGCTGTTACCGACGTTAATCCGCAAGTGCCACAAAAGCTTGCGGGGAATTCTTGAATTATTTACTTGATAATGAGCACGTTTGGAGAGGGATTGAATGTATGAGCAGCATGGGAACTGCTAATTGGATCAGGGAGTAATGATTTTTCATTTTCTGTTTATGTTGATTTCTGTTTCCTTTTCTCTTTCCTTTTTATGAATGATCCGTGAAAGGAATACACACTTTTCCTGGGAAGGTGGTCTTGTCCAATGTGTTATCATAGATATTAATAATATCACTTCATTGAACTCACACAATGTATGCTACTGGTCCTTCCATTTGGCCCTGCAGTTGAACTTCTATTTGAATTTTTTATATTGCAGTGTCCTTTGAATAAGGTTCCAATTTCCTAATTTTGCACACGTTGGATAGGTAGAAATAATCAAATTCGGTTTCGCGATCCAGGGTTTGCATCTAAGGGATATATTTAGCACACCTACAGTGATGGCGTCATTTCCTGGAACCCTCGGAAAAATCAGTTAATTTGCAGCTTCATTGTACACTCATGAATTGACGATGCAAATGAAGCATTTTACAGTCCATAAACGTACAGAATGAGGTATGCGGTCAGAAACCCAGCCTTTTGGTGGATGTCCAAAGCAGTGTCTCCATCTCAACACACAAGCTATGTTCGGGCACTCGCTGCCTTTCGAACTCAGCAATTCAGCTCCACATCGACATATGCGTCCAAGCTCCATCTGCGGGATCCTTTCTTGGAGAATTTGGAGCCCTTGATTGAGGGCCGATACTCGGCTCTTCGAGATACATACCGTCAGTAACGCATAAAGACAAAGAAGTCGAATGTCAAATTAGCAACAGCGCACTTGTGATTAGATTATGGTTACCTAACTTGAGTTCCGAGGTGATGTTCTCTACAGCCAAGCCAAAGCACCCCATAGTGCTTGCGCATGGTCTGTTAGGATTCGACGAATTGAGACTGGGCGGGAAATATCTTCCGCCAATACAGTATTGGCGAGGTATCAAGAAGGCGTTCTCCCAGCAGGGAATTGATGTTATTACGGTTCCTGTCCTGCCTTTAGGGTCCATTGAGCAACGAGCCAAAGCGCTTTCGAGTGGGATTGAAGCTCAGATCCAGGGCGAGGCAGTGAATGTTATTGCGTGAGTTTGACATTTTGAAGTTTAGCGTTTCATACATAACTTCCGGCACTGTTTTGATGCCAATCATTTTTGCTAACCATTATATATAGACACAGCATGGTACGTTGAAACTGCTGAAAGTTTTCAGAATTTTCATTACTTTCCTTCCTTCTGCTTTGTTATGTTCCTTTGTCTTTTTAATATGTACTTATCTTATAAATTCAGGGGTATGTGCTTTTTGAAGTATTCACCCATATTGTACACAGGATTGAAATAGCTGTTCTGACAGCGGAATCAGGGGACTGGACTCCCGCTATATGATTAGCAAGCTTCGCTCTATGAGGTTCCGCGTTTTATCACTGACTACGATTTCAACACCTCATCGAGGTTGGTCCCGGCTCAAATCACCCTTCGGAATTATTGCTAATCAGAGTAGGGAGTGCATTTGCGGATTATGTCTTTGGGCAGCTTGGAGGTCAGCCATATGGTCTCTAGAACGCGGGTAATATCGTATTCACATTTAGAGCATAGAGAAACGAGTCACAGTCATATATAGCGTCCTCGCACGGCTGAACATCGAATCGGGGGCATTCATGCAACTCACTCGAAAGTATATGCAGGAAGAATTTAATCCGAATATTCCGGACTGTGACGATGTGAGGTTCGTACCAGCCACCACTCGCAGCAACGACAGTAACCCTTCACTGACTACCAGGAACAACTCAGGTACTTTTCGTACGGGGCATCATTAACCCCTAGTATTTGGTCTTTGTTTCGCCAGTCACATCAGATAATCGAGCAGGAAGAAGGTCCGAATGACGGGTTAGTTAGCGTTCGAAGCAGCAAATGGGGAGGTCAAGGAGGTTATCAAGGCACCCTCATGGACGTTAGTCATTTTGACTTAATCAACTGGACCAACCGTTTCCAATGGCCCGTCTCTAACTTAAGCGGGGACAGGAGGAAGTGGGTATTCTAAAAACACCTGCGATATTTCATGTTAAGCAAGAGCACCTCTCCGTGACATACTAATGTCCTTTTTTGGGGACCACAGATTTAATGCCCTCGCCCTATATCTGGATATTGCTGGTAAGGTCACCCGTCCGCAAGTGGCATTTAGATCCTACTAACTCCTTTTGGATCTGGTGGACTAGATATGCTTACAAAACAAGGCCTATAAAACCCCGCTCGAGTTATATATGTCTTAACTTTGACCCGGCACCTGAATCAACCCACGCGACTTTGTCCTCGAAACATGTATTCCAGTTCTAGACAGTATAGATTTTTATAGGCAAGCCGCACTATACGTTTGTTTTCGGTTTTCTTCCCTTGAAGATTCAATCATTCAAAATATCCAGAATTTCTAGGGTATTATGCACGTTCCCTTTAGGACGCGATGCGGTTAGCTGTTACAGGAGTACACAGCTACCAACTAACTACATATCGTAGCCCAGGATCCCCTAACAGGGAATGTGGAGTATCTTATCATTCGGGGGTGGGAAGGAAGCTGAAAAATTGCGTTGGTTTGGTTTATCCCAGTACTCCTTCCATGCGGTTAATGTGGTTATGAACATGTTCGCCATAGTTAATCAATATTAGTGCTAGCCGAAAAGGCTCAAACGCCACTAAATGTTTGATCTGGCGCCTCCAGTTAATTGGCTTAAGTGCATTTTTGAAGCTTGTTTGGTAATCTATGCCTTAATGAACGTAGTTGGAACTTTGCCAGTATGAACTTATCTTGAAGTTCTTGACAGCACCAACAGAGTTCTATATATAGTGGCTGAGACTTGGCACAACGTCATCCGCTTTCGGACCGCTAGTCGAAGTTCAGATCCCCGCCGCAACATGCCGGAACAAGCAAAACTAATCCCTTTTGTGCGTCTCTGCATCATTCTCTGAAAATCCAGAGATACTCCATACCTACTTGCCTTGAGCAAATAACACTCGCTTCTGGATTCCGTCTGAGTTTTGATTTGACCTTCCCATCGTTTGTTACTTATTTCTCACCTCCAATGTACCCACCCCACGTCTAGCTCTCCTCTACTGGACAATCGCTTTACGCATGAATCTCGCTCGGAATAAGCCAATTATTCGCAATGTCTGTTCGAATCCATCTTGACAGACCGCATGCCCACTTCACGAACTTAGACTTCATCACAGGGAGAGTTATCCTTGTACTAGCTACCGATACTCCCATATCGAGTGTTGTTGTAAAACTTGAAGGCGAGAGCAGGACCCGGCTTGCGGCTCCGAAATATCCCAATAGTGACCGCAATGAGAAGAAGAGGACGGAGGTAGAATCACACAAAGTATGCGCGCCTGTTTATCAATAGAAATCGCGCCTGGAAAAATTTTTAATCCGGGATTGAGAGTTCTGACTGCTTTCTCTGCATTTCAAATCCACAGCTCCTATACAAAGTCCTTACCTTATTTCCGGCCGAGGAAGCGGCTGAGCTCGTCGGAAATAACATGTACTATACCCTTCCGCCCGGCCGTCATGAATATCCCTTTCGGTTCAAAGTGGGTTGAAGGAGATTCGTCTTTATAGTATTTTGTATTGGGCGACTAGGAATTTGGACGAAACGACTAATT